AACAGGTCAGGCATGGATAATGTGATCTGTGATTGTAATGGGGATCACGTGACTGAGGGGCTCTGGGAAGGTTGTAAATGGCTGTAAAGTTATTTTTTTCAGCACTGCTGTAACTTTGAGCGGTCACTGAAGTCTTCATCTATAAAACGACCCGATTGGAATCCATGATTAAAACCCCAAACAATCTCTGTTTAAGCTGTAAATGTGGTAGGATCTAGAATTGCATAGTATGTGGTAATGTCTAAAAATTATAAAAAATGCAATGATATCTAAAATGTATGTAATATGATAATATCTGAAGTTACATAAAACCTGGCACATGTGCAGCCGCAGGAAGTTGGCCTATCCAGGCCCGGAGGCCTCACACGGGACTCCCGTACCTTTGCCAAACAAACCGAAGGGGTGGCTGACCGCCTCAGTCTCATTGCCTGAAGCAGCTGCTGCTGTTTGAGTCTCTTGGAGGAAATGACGGAGATGCAGGAGGGTGGTGGAGCGATGCTCCCCTTGGTTCCCTTCTTCTCCTTTCCGCCTTCTGCTGCGTACTCAGAGACCTGGGTGGGCTTCTGGGATGGGAGGGGAGCTGCTTCTACCTTCTCAGTCTGCCGGGCCCCATCTATGGCACAGATAAGGGGCTTTGAAAAGCTTCCAGGAAAAGAAAAGGTCAGGCTGCTCAAAATCCTCAAACATATAATTCTGTCACCCCAAAAACCACATTGAACTGAGATCGGATCTATTTTTTGCCTACATTAAACAACGAATAAACTCACAATCGTAGTCAATCAACAGATTAGAATTAGAATCAGAATAGAGATGGAAGGGACATTGGAGGTCTTCTAGTCCAGCCCCCTGCTCAAGCAGGAGGACCCCATACCTGGGGTGTCAAATTGGCAGCCAGCAGGCCAGATGCGTCAAGTGCAGGCCACGCCCACCCTGGCTCTGCAAAGGCAAGAAACATCACGATACATCATGTGACGTGATCGAGTCTTGACACCTGTGCCCTATTCCATCTCAGACACGTGACTGTCCAGTCTCTTCTTAAAAGCCTCCAGGGATGAAGCACCCACAACGTCTGAAGGCAAGCTGTTCCACTGGTATAAAACATGATAGCAGGAGCTCCTACAAAGACAAGGGGGTCAACTTATTCTCCAAAGCACCAGAGGGCAGGACAAGAAACAACGGATGGAAACTGACCAAGGAGAAAAGCAACCTGAAATTAAGGAGAAATTTCCTGACGGTGAGGACAATTAACCAGTGGAACAACTTGCCTCCAGATGTTGTGGGTGCTTCATCCCTGGAAGTTTTTAAGAAGAGACTGGACATTCACTTGTCTGAGATGGTATAGGTCCTCCTGCTCGAGCATGGGGCTGGACTAGAAGACCTCCAAGGTCCCTTCCAACTCAGTTGTTCTGTTAAAAGATGCACTGCTGAGGAAACACCCCTGGGGCTTCAAGCAGGAAGAAATAGAAGATTTCTATGATCCCTTTTGTGCTTTTGAGTTTTAAATTTTTAAATCCCTGAGGATAACAAAGGTGTCTTGGCACATTACCCAATGGCAGTAGGTGTTTGCCTTTGCACCATGGGAGGCACCTGCTTGCCTGAACCTACCTCCATCAACCTTCTTGTGCTTCGTTTGAAATTCATGGAGAGGAACAGGCTTTGGCAGAATGGGTGGCTTCTCTAGAGTAATCCTAGCAGCACGTGGGATCAGTCCTCTTTCAATTAGATTTAGGATGCCTAGGAAGAGACGAGGCTTCACAGATTACTTCAAGGGCAACTTACCTGGCCGGTCTAACGTTTTTGACTTACAAACAGCTCAGAGAGTCGACGGAGCGAAGGCGGAACCAGAGAGGGTGCATCTGAAAGAGTAGCTGACAGTTAGGACAAGCCAGCAGAAGGTGAGGTGACACCGTCTTCCCGTACAGGTGGTCCTCGACTTACAACCCAATGGAGCCCAAAATTTATGTCGCTAAGGGAGAAACGTATTGAGTTTTGCCCCTTTTTACCACCTTTCTTGCCACAGTTGTTAGGTGAATCTTAAAGGGAGGAGGGTTTTGGGCTCCTGACAGAATCCCTGCAGTTCTTAAGTGAGTAACACGGTTGTTAAGTGAATCTGGCTTCCCCACTGACTTTACTTGTCAGAAGGTCACAAAAGGGGATCACATGACCCCCAGGACACTGCGACCGTCATAAATATGAGTCAGTTTCCAAGCATCCGAATGTAAATCATGCGACCCTGGGGATGCTGCAACGGTCATGAAAAACGGTCATAAGTCACTTTCTTCAGTGCCGTTGTAACTCTGAACGGTCACTAAGCGAACTGCTGTAGGTTGAGGACTGCCTGTACCTGAGGAGGCCCACCTTTTCTCCACAGCGCCGGAGGGCAGGACAAGAAGCGACGGGCGGGAGCTCGTTGGATGGAGATCCAACCTGGAAATAGAGGCAGTCCTCGACTTACAACAATTTGTTTAGTGACCAAAGTTATAACAGCCCTGAAAAAAGCGACTTACGACCATTTTTCATGCTTATGGCTGCTGCAGCATCTGCGCGGTCATGTGATCAGAATTCGGATGCAAGGCTCATATTTTCGACAGTTCCGGTGTCCTGCAAGCACCTTTTGTGACCTTCCGACAAGCAAAGTCAGTGGGGAAGGCAGAATCCGTTCACAACCACATTACGCACTTGAAAGTTGAATAATTCACTTAACGACCGTGGCAAGAAAGGTTGTAAAATGGGGGCAAAACTCACCGAACAAAGGTTTCACTTAGCAAATAGAAATTTTGGGCTCAGTTGTGGCTCTAAGTCAAGGACTACCCATAAGGAGACATTGCCTGACAGTGAGGACAATCGATCGGTGGAACGGCATTTGCCCCCGGAAGCCGTGGACGCTCCATCCCTGGAGGCTTTGAAGAAGAGACCGGACAGCCGCTTATCCAGAAGGGAACGGGGCCCTTACTTGAGCAGGGGGTTGGAGAGAAGACCTCCGAGGTTCCTTCCAACCCTATTATTCTGTGTTCTAGGTATAGCTAGTGGCCAGCCAACTGTCTCCCTGGCCAATCTGTTGTATTTGCAAAGGCAAAGATAGTGAAGGGGCCCCGCAGAATGAAGTGACCATGACTGACCTTTCTCTGCGTCCTTCTCGGAAATAGGCACGGCAGAGCGAATGTTGTTCAAACGGGAGGATGGTGGTGCTACAGAAAGGTTGTTGCCTGTCACACCTTTTGCAATCTTTTGCGTCGGTGCCTAAATAAAGAGAAAAACATTTCCTCTTTCAACTGCAGACCTGTTGATTGTATGGACCACTTATGTCCAAGAACATAATTTAGGCAATAAAATATAATTTGGAAGGTTTCATGGCTTAGGAATGTGCAATATACTATGGGGTTCTACCAGCAATTCAGATAATTTAAATATATTTAAATCTATAGAAAAATCTGAATAATCAAGGTCACATTCTTGTAATCCAAACTCTTTTTTTTAAAGATCTCAGGATGGTTTGGTAAAAGTCAGTTGTGCATATGAATGCTCATCACCCTACTAAACGTAGTTGCAAAAATTTGCTGCTTATTCACTACTTCATGAAGAATACCTCATTAATTGCCTAGAGTACCAAGATTGCAGCAGGATAAATAACTTTTTGTACCTCTGTTTCATTAGTTGCAAAATCTCTTCTTCAGTTCTCAATTTACAGCACTGTTTCAGAAGAATAAAAATTAAATAGATGTTGGTCTTGATTCTAGGTGGCAACATAATAACAATATTTGAGGGGCTGCAACAAAGAAGGGGGGGGCAACCTATTTTCCAAAGCACCAAAAAGCAAGACAAGAAACAAAGGATGGAAACTAATCAAGGAGAGAAGCAACCTGGAATTAAAGAGAAATTTCCTAACAGTGAGGACAATTAACTAGTGGAGCAGTTTGCCTTCAGAAGTTGTGGGTGCTCCATCACTCGAGGTTTTCAAGAAGAGACTGGACAGTCACTTGTCTGAAATGGTATAGGGTCTCCTGCTTGAGCAAGGGGGGTTGGACTAGAAGATCTTCCGGCTCCCTTCCAGGTCTGTTATTCTGTTAAATTAGAAGTTGAATAGTTCTGCCTTTGCATTATTATTTGTTGGCAGTTTGGCCTCTTCACTCAGCAGCTGGTATAAATGATTTTTTTTTTTTACATTTGTTTTGGACTTACCAAAAAAGGTCCTTTTTGTTAGAGACCTTTGCTAAGCTTACTATAGTAACACATGCCTAATATATAACCCGAGAGACCAGTATTCCTCAAAAGGAAGCCAAAATAAATACAAGGCTATGCCTACTTTTTGGTTCCAACAATAAATGTACAGTTAACTGACAATCCAAAGGCATATCTTCCAAGTCCATCCTAACATGATGTCGGCCATCACGGGAATGGTTCTAGATTTCTTCCAGAAAGGTCTGGCTGCAAGGAATCCTCCATTTTGGAGCTGGCTGATCACATGGAGTGCCTCAGATGCCTCTACCAAAAAGGAAGCGCTGGACAAAATCAGGCATCCTGCTCACAGGATAAACACTGCTGTAACGCTGAAGCAAATGACTCATTTCCAGGCAATGAATTGGACATGTCTAATATCGTGAAAACATTTTGGTGAAGAGAAACATTACATCAGAACACAATTTTCAAAGGTTAGAACAGAGATCTTAATTTGGGCTGCCGGCAAACATTTACTCTGCATAATATGCCTGAAATGTGCTGCAGAAGTATTTTCTCTTTATCTCAAGCAATTCTCTGTATAATTAACTTGAGGCATGAGACAAAAGAATTCTATTAGTTCTTTTGAAGTGCATTTCTCTCGTGGATAAAAATGTCCCACTCAATATGGTTATTTTTCTATGGTTCAATTTAAAACAAACAGTTTTTTTTTTTAAAAAAGGGTTTTTTGCATTTTATTGTTTTCCTTTTGTTAGGAACAAAACAGAACTGAGGCAAAACAACTTTAGGAAGTGAAGGAGGCAACCAGCAGATTGCAGAACAGCAAATGGACACCGGATGTGCACACACCAGAGACCGTTTCATTGTTCACATTCGACGTTCACAGCTGAGCAACTCACCAACAAGTTTTCTCTAGAATCAGATTGATTCTGAGGACGGAACAGAAGCAGAACATTTGGCTCCAGATGCAAGGCTGTTTCAGTTACTACTCTTTAGCGACACTGATAAATTAGCTGGATGATGGCTTCATATTACTAGTGGCCCGTGGAAATGATTCTGCAAAATTATGGACACATGGAAAATATATCGCCCCTGCCAGAGAGCCAGCCAACAAAAACAAAAACCCTTCCCATCTGTGATGAAACCCTTCAACTATTTTATGTTTTTTTAGGGGGGGGGGAAAGACACTTAATTTTGTCACTTCATGTGAAAAGATTTTTAATTGTGGGCATCGAAGCTATTCAATACAAAAGGAATGCAAAATATGAATATACAGAAGCATTTAATATAGACTTAGCCGCTTAAGAAACTATTTCTACTTTTCTCCATCTGCTGACTTAAGCATCTGGTACCTTCCCAAGATACTTAGCACTCCACATAAATTATCAATTTCCTCCAAATCACCACAGAGCAGGCTAATATTAGTAGGAGAGCCATATTAGTCTACGACAGCCAAAAATCAGGAGTTCAATACAGGTAGCTCTCATTCAGCAACTGTCTTGTTTAGTGACCAACAACAGTGATGAAAAAGTAACTTTGCAACCAAGCCTCGCATTTATGACCTTTGCAGGTCTGTAAACAAAGGAAATCTGAAGTCAAATCATAAACCCGGTGGGATTTTCACTTAGTGACTGCCTCACTTAAAGACCAAGTTTCTACCTGAGGACTACCTGTAGGCCTTTTTCAGATAACAAATGTTATTAATAGGGATATGCATTGCATATAATTAGACACAAAGACAGTTTTTCCCCCGTGCCATCACTCTACTGAACACTTAATTCCCACAGTGCTGTCTATTCTCATCTTTTCATATCATCTCATCTTTCCTATCTTCTTCTATTATTTTTTTTATGATCTATCAATTATTGTTTGTAACTTATGATTAATGATTGTAACTAATTTATGATCTACTACTTGCCGTTTATAGGTACATCGTGAGCTTTTAGGAGACAAATTCCTTGTGTGTCTGATCACACTTGGCCAATACAGAATTCCCTTCCTTTCCCTTCCCTGTTTTTGTATACTGCTCATTACATCAGATGTATGGAGAGGCTAAACTATTACACTCTTCAGTTGGGAGGAGGTGGAGAAGGGAGGAAAAACCAGGTGCCGACTTTGCCTCTGCCTTTACACCCACAGTCCTGCCAGAGGCCTCCACCTGTCTTCACTCCCCAGATTAGGGCTCCCTCCACAGCCCTTCCTCTAAGGCAGGGGTTCTCAACCTTGGCAACTTTAAGACTTGTGGACTTCAATTCCCAAAGCTGGCTGAGGAATTCTGGGAGTTGAAGTCCACAAGTCTTAAAGTTGCCAAGGTTGAGAACCCTTCCTCTAAGGTGACCCCTGCCGTGATCTGCCAGCAACGCCCCTTGGGATTCCATGCAGGACAAACATGGCAGACTGTATGCAAAAGAGTTAATGGACACAAATCTAGCACAAAGGCTCAAAACTAGGACAAAGTGGTATCCGAGCATTTTAATTTCCCAAGACGCTCCATTACAGATTTCAAAGTAGCTCTTTTGGAACAAAGAAATTTTACAGGCACAATTGAGCGGAGAGATGGTGAACTTACATACCTCAAATGGTTTCAGGCCAGCTCAACAAACACAACAGGCATTCAGCACATTACAATTGCCAATTGAAAAGACACTTGCAATTTGTCTCTCAGGTAGCCGGCATCTGTATTTCCCCCCCAACCCCCAACCCAGCCTCCCCCCAATTTAAACCCAACACCAGTCTAGCTACTCTGTGCATCGGATGAAGCAAGCATGGCTGACAAAAGCTTATGCCTTTCCATTAAATTTGTCAGCCTGAAAAGTTGCTACCAGCCTCCCTCTGACTAGTGAGGAGAGGTTGGAAAGTTGGCTCACGGCAGCCTAGACTTTTGAGCAAGAAACTTTGCAGTTCCTTCTGTTAACCGTTCAACCGTCCAAAGCCCCCGTTCTCCCATTTTAGAGTCAAAGCCCATTTAGACTCTCAGGGAAGCCTTTCTAATTGAAAGCCTCTTCTAGGCTGCCCTTCCAGCCGACCTGCCTCAAATTACCGCACCAGGTGGGTGGCCAAGATGAGATGCGTGGCCGCCGCCGTGCCTTTCAAAGGCAGGACAGAAGCAGCCCAGAAGGGAGGGAGCCGGGAAGTAGCTGGCACAAACTGCTGCGCCTCTTACTGGTGGGCAAGAGGCCAGCCGGTGCCGAGCAGGATCGGACAGCTGGGCTTATTGGAATTCCGGGCTGGGCCTCCCTCCTTGTCCAGCGACAGCTGTAAGCCAGCAGCCCATAGCATCTCAATCAGGCGTGGCATTCCTTCCAAGAATGCTGATACGGAGAGGAGCAGCCTCGGCTCCCCTCCACCTTGCAGAGTGACAGTCAATCTTGGATTCCAGATGACAAGGACTGGATGCAAAATGTAAAACAAATGGTGACCTTTCCAAAGATTAATTTGTTTACCAACAAAACGCTCTCGGTTTGTCATCCGGGATAGAGGTGACCTTCACGTTCCCATTTCTGGGTGGAGAGGAAACTGCGTGCAGTCATCTGCTCACTTAACCCGATCTCACCAATTATTACTTCTCTTATATTTGGGGGAAAGGACAGTTTATTAATTTGTCGTTGTCTTCTGTTACGTTTGTTATAAATGCAGCAAACGTGCTGCCAATTACCACGGTAGAACATCAATTTGTTTAAGTCTGATTCCACTCCGGATGCCAACATTGGGGGTTTTATTCCCTTTTTGTAATTGAAACCATAGACAGAAGCTTCTCCCCCCTCCCCTTCCCAAGATCTTACACCTCCTTGTCCGTCCCGCAGCACATCTGAAAAGAAAACCATGGTTCTTACTACTAGAGAGCTGTTTCCAGAACAAATGGCTGCCCCTTTCCTATGCAGAGGCAATTCAGAGACAAGCAGGGCAGAGTCCAGGCACGGAGGGATGCCCACAGCTTCACAGAGGACGAAAGCGAGAGGAAGAACGAGGGGAGGAACTTAGCAAAAGGGGCAGCAGGACTCGTAAAAATTCGGGGATGGCAAAGGCATTAAATTCCCTCTCATGAATAAATGAAAAGGAGCCAAGTTTATCTTGCATTATTTATTTATTTATTGGAAGGTGGAGACCCAAGCATCGGTATAAGTCTACTGCTACACAACAATTCTGTGAACATGAAAATGATGGAGAGCTCCTTTGAGGTCACTGCAATTATGAAGACTTATTTTTGTGGAGGTTTCAATGGGCATTTTTGCCCTTTGACAGAGGTGAGCAACTGGGAAATTGCCGGAGGAGAAAGCGGTAAGAGGCCTGCAGCTAATCGGCCACTCTTAATATGCACACAATTAAAATAATTCGCAGGCTATTTTAATTAACACAGCTAATCTGCATATTTAAGCAAATGTAATTAACAGAATTTTGTGTATTCACAAACACCAATCTATACGTCTAATTATGTGCAATTAACATAGTTTGCATTCAAGTTTAATTAATGTTAATTTGTATATTTACATTGCTTGTAGTTAACATAATTTCATATTTTCACAAACGCTGCTAAGTTATATATTGCAGTTATATATTGATATATGTTATATCAATGTCACTGATATAATCTGCAGAAAATTCTTTAAGCTATACGGTCAAGTAACAGTAATATTCTTGACTAGCCTTTTTCAAAAGAGAATCAAGTGGCTGATACATTCAGGTTGCTTCAACACAGCTGGAAGTTCTCTTTCGTCCTATTATTTATTGAAAAAATGTTCAACATGTGCTGTGATGTTGCTTACGGAAGACCAGATCTGAGCTAGCAACCTGGAGTGAAGTCGTGGCCAGAGTACTGCCAAATCTTAGATCCCTCCACCAAGCAGGCGGGGACCTTTGAGGATCATCACTTCTGGATCAGGTATTCTTTCAAGCTGCACAAGGGCCTGCTGAGGCCCAGGTGGGCCTGCGTACGTGTGCCGTAGGCGCTCTTGCCTGGAAGAGGCATCTCTAGCCATAGCGAGTACATTCATTACGAATGAAGGCAAATCCACGTGTCCTGGGATAAGGCGGCAGGATCCAGTCTGGGTCGGTCACCTGGACCAGAGAGCTTTAGTCTTCCGAGCTTCCGGACCCGTGCTGGAGCCCACCTTCGGGCAACTGCCCTCTGGCAGAGTGTGCGCTTTGGGCTGTTCTGTGTGCGGTATTTATATGGTGTCTGTTGTATGTGGGGTTTTTTAGATGTTGATTGGGGTGTTGACGGCTGGCAATTAAGTTGTTGGCTGTCATTTCTCTGCGCTGCCCAGCCCTCTCTTCCTCAGGACTTGATAAGCAGGTGGTAAATCGGCACTCCTGTTGACCGATGAGGGGCCCGTTTCCCAGGCTCCCGTCACATCCCTGGCTGTTTTTGTGCCTGCTCGTCCAACCATCTTAGTAGCTGCAAAACTGAATGTGTGTCCCTGTTCATGGCAGTGTGAAGCTACCAATGAGTTCGGGTCTCCTTGTCTGACCGCTCACTTGGCAGCACATCAGCATCCCAATAAACATCTAAAAAACCACACACAACAGGCACCATATAAATACCACACACAGAACAGCCCAAAGCACACACACTGCTAGAGAGACGTTCCCCGAGGATGGGCTTCAGCATGAGTCTAAAAACTTGGAAGACAAAACTCTGGTCCCGGTGACCGACCCAGATTGGTTCCTGCAGTATATTCATTTCCCAGTCCAGATCGCTGTAACTGGCTCCCTGGCTGTTGTCCTCAGAAAAAGTTTGAAAACTGCAGCTATTGCAAAGCAAAACAGTCAGGTGGCCCTCTTTAGAGCTGGGGTGTCCAACCTTGGCAACTTTAAGGCTTGTGGACTTCAACACCCAGAATCCTCCAGCCAGCCATGTTACGTTCCAGAAGTGATGATCCTCAACTGTGAATTCATGCTGGCTGGGGAATTCTGGGAGCTGAAGTCCATAGGTCTCAAGACTGGACATCCCTGCTTTAAAGTATGTTCCCACAATCTTATGATAACCTCCTTCTAATCCATTTCAAGGAGTTACAGCTGATTTATCAAATCTCTAAACATCGTAAGGCCAAGAGATCTGAGAGATCATCTCTTCTTGTTTGAATCTGCCAGGTGGCTGAATTCATTGTCAGAGATTCTTTTGCATGAGCCAACACATTTATTTAGTGATAACCACATTTTGGTTGTGAAATTCCTTTTTCTAGGAATGCCCTGAGGGCAGGGAGGACCTTCTCATCCCACTCGGCATGGCACTTTTAAACTGAAAGCTCTAATTCTGATCTAAAACTTTCTGCTTTTGTTCTCTGACAATGTGTCATATTTTTGCATGAATCACTTCGGAAGGCCTTGTTAGGACAAACAGTGATACAAAATGCTTCAAAAAGTGAAATGAAATGACATAAATAAACTATTTAAACAAAAATTATTTAAACTATAAATTAGAATGTAAAGAGTATTTATGTAAAATAAAATCCAAATATTGGTCAGAATAAAAAAAAAACCTAGTGGGGAATCTCACTGAAACATTCACTGAGGGTTTATATATAGAAGGTAATAATGTTAATCACACAAGCAAGTGAGGATTTGCTTTTATGGGGGGGGGGAGTTATTTCAGATATCAGAACTTTTCATTCGTCACCTCAAACACACAGTTGTCTAACATAATGCATTAGTACATTCCACAGCCAGGCACCAGGAGCATATGAACTAAAGAGATCAAGCGATGTAGATGCATGCGTGAACTATTCAACAATATTTTTCCTGGCACAAAATATTCTGATGATGAATTTCCTAAAACAGCACATTGCTGGAGCTGGACGTTTTGCCCAAGAGAGTGGCTGAGGCTCAACTGTTCTGAAGAAAATCAGAGGCAAGAAACAAAGCAACGGAGATACTTTTTTGATTACTTACGCATGCGGTTTCCCTCCGATTAACCAATGGCAAACTGACACCATAGTTCTGATTTACAATGCTTCGGTGGTATACGTGCCTTGGGTCACACAGAATCCTCATCATCACTGAAAGCTTGTGCTGTAAAGAAACACAACACAGCCTGTCTACAACAACAACAATGCTGGAAGTTTTGTCTAGAACTATTTACCTTGGTACTCAACTGCTTTGAAACTCATCAAATTCGGCACTCAACGCATTTTGACTCGAAAAGTTTGTTCCGTAGTCATTGTTTGTTTGGCACTCGATGCACAAGTGAGAACATGTTGGTGTCAGCTGCTTTGTGACTCACTATATTATTTCTTATGGAAAAAAATTGTTTGGTACTCATTGTGCCTCCCGGCACCAATTAATGGGTTGAGTACTGAGGCACCACTGTATTTATTAAATGTATACGCCGACCACCTCGCTATCCACGTTATCCCTGCCAGCTTTGTTAGCCTCCGCGCATGATGCCTTCGCTGGTCAACTGGAGGAGCGCAGTTTATGCAGAGCATGGGCAGCAATGCAAGAGGGAAATCATTTCATCGTGGAGAAAAAGCAAACTCTTTGCTATCTGCTAAGAAAAGCCCATTTCCCTATCAACGGAGAGGGCAGCTCACCTGATTCCCCTAACTGAACCTGCCTCTCTGCCCTGGAGCCTTTCCTGCACCGCTGTCCTCCTCATTGCCCAGGGGACTGACCCGGCGGTTCTCCTCGGAGGCCTCTGGATGGCTAGACTGGATGCTTCGAGTCCCTCAAGCCCCTCATGCTGGCAGAAGGGAAGGCCACTCCTTCGACTGAGAGGCCAAGAAGCTCTGCAGCTCTGCCTGAAGGTGGCCGTGTGGGGCTGCAGTGATGGGCATCCTTGCTCAAGGACCCAAAGAAGCACAGGCTGAGGCTGCAGATCTCAGCTGAAGCTACTCCAAAACCAAGCGGATACCCAAGGCAACTACATGTAGCCCTTCACTTACAACAGCTCGTTTAGTGACTCTTCAAAATTACAATGGCACTGTGTCCCGGGGTCATGTGATCGCCCTTTGGCGACCTTCTGACCAGCCAAGTCCATGGGGAAGCCAGATTCACTTAACAACCGTGTTAGTAACTTAACAATTGCAACGATTCACTTAACAACTGTGGCATGAAAGTTCGTAAAGTTCGTAAAATGGGGCAAAACTCATTTCATAAATGTCTCGCTTAGCAATATAGATTTTGAGCTCAATTGTGGTCGTAGGTCGAGGATTACCTGTATATGTGCAGACCGAAGGGGTTGGTGTGCATTGCAAATTGCACGCAATAAGCTCGCCTTCTGCATCTTTGTGGGTGAGTGAGAATGTCCCTTTTTAAAAATAAAACACTAAGGCTGACACAGTCAGCGCTGCAGCCGCCAGAGACCCCCCTTCTATTATTATTATTATATTTATACCCCGCCCTTCTCCCGTAGGACTCAGGGTGGCTTACAGCCAGTTTAAAAACAGTTTAATACAATACAATACAAAGTTTTAAAAAATCATTAAAAATAAATATTTAAATCGGCCGCTTCTACTAAAATTTGGCTAAAACCAATTTAAAATACCCCTAGGCCAGTCCTGCCCGCTGAAACAACCAAGTTTCAGCGCGGCGGAAGGAGGGGAGATCCGGAATCACCCGGATCTCTGGGGGCAGCTCGTTCCAGAGGGTGGGTGCTCCGACAGAGAAGGCCCTTGCCCTGGGGGTCGCCAGCCGACACTGTCTGGCTGACGGCACCCTGATGAGGGCCTCTCTGTGGGAGCGTATCGGCCGGTGGGAGGCAATCTGTGGCAGAAGGCGGTCTCGGAGGTAACCAGGTCCAATGCCATGGCGCGCTTTAAAGATGATAATCAACACCTTGAAGCGCACTCGGAAGGCCACAGGCAGCCAGTGCAGCTCGCGCAGTAGCGGCGTTACGTGGGAGCGACGTTACGTGGGAGCGACGGGTTGCTCCCATCACCGCTCGCGCGGCCGCATTCTACAGGGGAGAATATACCCCCCAGTCCCATTCCCCCCCCCCCAAAAAAACAGTACCTTGTGGACCACAAATCAACTGTGGCCATCACTCTGAGACAGCTCACAAAGCACACTACACAACTCCAGCCAACTGAGGCCAGCGCCCATCCCATCATTTTACCTTCACCCCATCCGATCTTATCCATCATTTGTCATCCAAATTTAACATGGCTGTTATTTGTAGTTACTTCTCGCTGGAATTTGAAAACCACAAATAGCTGTCTGTTTTCCCCCTCCGATTCTGGTCAGTGCTTCCTAGAGATGGCAACTGCTCCGGGTTCAAGTGACATGTTTAACTCTAGAAAGGCGAAGGCCGTGGTTTGGGAGCCGGGCAGGAGGGGAAGCAGCCGGCGGAAAGCTCCTCCCAGAGGCCAGACCACCCGGCTCCCTTCCTCCGCTGCCCGGGGGTTGCAACCGCCCCAAACGCTTGACACCCTTGGGGAGCCCTGGCCTTTTCTCAGGCAGCCTCCGTACTCCCGCCATATATACAGGGGGCCCTAAAAATTCCATGACAAGACAGTTGTTTTTTGCCCCATTTTACGATCTTTCTTGCCACAGTTGTTAAGTGAATCATTTGGCCATGAAGCAAACGTGACTTCCCCCACTGACTTTGCTTGTCAGAAGTCGGCTGGGAAGTTCGCAAAAAGTGGTCACAAGACCCTGGGACGGGGCAACCGTCACAAATGCAGGCCATTTTGATCATGTGACCCTGGGGGCGCTGCAAAGGTCGTAAGTGTGAAAAACGGTCCTAAGTCACCTTTTCAGTGATGTTGTAACTTCGAACAGTCACTAAACGAATGCTGTAAGTAGAGGACCGCCCGTGTCCCATCTACACGGCGTGTCCCCCATTCCCCCTCTCCAAGCCCTCCTCCCACTCCCTGCGAGCTCATAAAAAAGGGGCGGCTGCGAACGGAGACCTCCCAGTGCCAAGAGTGTTATACAATATTGGGAATGGCAACTTGGTCATTAAATGAAGCAGTTGCTAAATGAAAAATCATAATTTTATGATTTTATTTCAGCTTTCCTTTGCTTTACAGACTTGTGAAGGTTATAAATGTTTGGGTTGGCTGAAAAGTTACTTTTTCATTACCACTGCAGCTGAATGAGGCAGTCATTCTGCTACAATGGGGCAGTCACTAAATGAGGACTACATGAATCGCTTATAAATGTTGAACAATAATTATATGTTGCCTTACATTTATTGTACATTAACTGTATTTTATTATCACATCTTGCACACTGCTTAGAATGGAACAGTTTATAAATTCCAGAAAGAAACAAAGCAAAGCAAAGCAAAGCACCAGAAGGCAGGACAAGAAGCCACGGATGGAAACTAAACAAAGAGAGAAGCGAGGAGAAGCTTCCTGACAGTGGAAACATTTAACTAGTAGAACGGCTTCCCTCCAGAGGTTGCGGGTGCTCCATCACTGGAGGCTTTTAAGAAGAGACTGGACAGCCACTTGTCTGAAATGGTACATGGTCTCCTGCTTGAGCCAGGGGCTGGACTAGAAGACCTCCAGGGTCCCTTCCCGCCCTGTGTTTCTGTGTTCTGTATAAAGCATTCTAACGCTCTGGAATCCCAGCAGATTCTCTTGTGCCAGCAGTCACAGCTAAAATGAGAACCCCCCTTGCTAGAAGGTCAACAAAACTATTCTTCAACAGTGAATGGAAGCTTGTGGTGAGGGAGAAAAGGAGAAATCAGCAGAAATGAGGTGCAGTTCTCCACCCTTTATCCCACCTTTCACTTAATTCTGAACTCTCCGGCGTATGTCGCAGGTTCAGCAAAATTCTGCTTTTATCAGCAACTAAAAGTGGTCCTGCCAAACCCGCTGGAGGCCATTCCTAAAAATTCTGGGCTTTAACGTTCTTTTTAATAACTCACTCAAAGTGAATGAACCGAAACGGGTCCCTCCAATTTGTTCTTTGCTTACTGAGGTCACAGACGTAAAGAACTTCACTTGGGAAGCAATTGAAAAATCAGATTTTGTTCCTTTTGGGCCTGCCCAAATGTTTTTCCTGCCCGTGAGTTCTGTAATCACAACCACAAGGATATCTCCGCATGTGTTCCGTGGGACAGAACTATGCCTCCTTAGTGTCAAAGGAAACACTCTAGTCACTGACAGCTATAGCATGAAACTCAACATTTCTAGTCAGGCGAGGGCGTCAGGGCGAGTTTGCAATAGTGGCGAATATCTGTAGCTCGGGTGGAGGATGAGGGTGGAGGTTCGTTCTCCGAGCTGGTGGGCTGGTTTCCGAACATTTCATTCCCAGGCTGGGGGACCTCTTCAGCGGAGTTTAGGGGAGGTCAGTGTCGGTGTCCTCCTGCTCTGTGTGGTCAGTAGGCCTTGAGATGGGGAGGATCACTGGGAGGGTCACAAGACCCATCACAAGACCCTCCCCTGACGTGACCTCCTCATCACAAGGCCTACTGACCACACAAGCCCCTGTAAGCAGAAGGACACCGACACAGACCTCCCCTAAATTCCGCTGAAGAGGTCAACCTAGCCTGGGAACGAAATGTTCGGAAACCAGCCCACCAGCTCGGAGAACGAACCTCCATCCTCATAAGTGCAAATAATTTAAGCCTACAGGACAAATGGATTAGCTCTGTTTCCCTCCTGTGTCTGTGCTGATCCAGGCCAAGACTTTGTGTTCTTGGCGTAATGGAGTGGTTAAGGCAGGGTTCTTCAGCCTTGGCATCTTGGAAGTATATGGACTTCAACTTCCAGGTTTACCCGGCCAGACGCGAATCCTGGTTATTGAAGGCCACATACCTTCAAATTGCCAAGGCAGAGAAACACTGGGTTAAACTGTTGCACTGGGACCAGAGAGATTCACATTTAAGTCCCAGTTCGTGTCAAAGCTCACTAGGGATTGTGGACCAGTTGCTCTCCCTCAATCTACCTGTGCTGTAGGGAGAAAATCAGGGGAGGCTTGTGAAGAAGCTACCTTGGTTTACCAAGAAGTCAGACCATCATCACAAACGTTACGGCTCCCTATCTTGCCTTGAGGGGAGGAAGAGCCCTGTCCCACCCACCCCTTTCTAGCCTGCAGGAGGATCCCATCCAAAGTGGGCCTGTCCTCGGGGGCTCCCTGAGCGAGATCCCTTGGGAGGAAAACCAGACCGCAGAATCCCTGGCAAGATTAAAGCCACAAGCCGCTTCGAACCTTTGAGCCCAAGGAGGAGGCTGGAGGCAGGGCTGCCCTGGCAGGAGGGGCCGTCGCGGGCACCTTGGGGAAAGCGATTTCCTTCAACGGAGAAGGCTCCAAGGGGATTCCCCTAAATTGGGAAGAGAATGAAATCAGAAAGCGGGCAAAAGAGCACGGCTTCATTTTCATACCCCCCCAAAGAAGACATTCAGTGCAGGCAGTCCTCGACTTACAACTGTTTGTTTAGTGACCGTTCAAAGTTGCAACGGCAGTGGAAAAAAGTGACTTATGACCGTTTTTCACACTTACGACCGTTGCAGCGTCCCCACGCTCACCTGATCAAAATTCAGACGTAAAGTCAATGGGGAAGCCAGATTCACTTGACAACTGTGTTGCTAACTTAATAACTGAGATGATTCACTTAACAACTGGGGCAAGTAAGGTCATAAAATGAAGCTAAACTCACTTAAGGAATGTTTCACTTAGCAACATAAATTATGGGCTCAATTGCGGTCGTGAGTTGAGGACTGCCTATAATTAGGATAAAATGCAAGTCCTGCAGAAAGGGATTAACGCTACAGGTGGTCTTTGACTTACAACTGGTCGCTTAGGGACCATTCAAAGTTGCGACGGACCCCCCCCAAAGGTCCTTGCAACCCAGTTCTGATGCCCCCCGTCACATGACCACATTTTAGATGCTCAGCAACTGGCCTGCACGGACTATTTGCATGGTCTCAAGGTCATGTGACCCCGATTTACATTTTTGCCAAAAAACGGTATTTACTTCCAGTTTTTGGCAAAAACACCTAATGGCGAACAATGGGCTTACTTAATGACTGCAACGTTTGCTTAATGGCCACAGATTCAGTTAATTAACATAGTGATTTGCTTAACAACCACTTCAAAGAAAGGTCGTAAACTCAGGTTTGTCTGAGATGACCAGCTTTTTGACCGTTATGACTTACAACCACAATGGGCAGGCTCTGTTATAGACGTAAGTCGAGGACTACATACATACTGATATTTGTTGGGGTTTACAGATACTCTAAGCTGTAATGCACTGTACTTTGGTTTTGACTGACCACATGCAAACATGGTCAGTGATTATAAATCATGCTTTCTTCAACAACAGCAAGCCACAATTTGAAAGCACAATTTCTTGTGGACATTCTTTTAGTCTATAGCTTGGCAGGATATGTGAACGTACATCAATTTGTGGTTTCTTGGTTTGTTCCTAATTTGCTTCAACCAAGCCTGTGGCCACTGCAAGAGCAGCTAAAATAAATACAGAATTGGCCAAATAAACCATGACTATTTCTTTTATCTGGAAAAATGATATGGCCTTGTTCAACAGCCATAGATAAGCAGCTGCAATTATTTGAGGAGTCCAAACAAGGAAGGGTTTTGCCCAACACAAGCCTGGTTACTCCTGTACATCCGGCCACAGCTCCCCCAAAACCATGCAAGTTAGTTACAGCACCATCCACACCATGTTTTAAGGCTGCCATATTGCATGCAAGATGCTGGGGTCTCTCCAGGAGGGAAAGAAAGAATATTCTATGGTTTGTTCTCAATCTGGAGACAGTCTCAGCCAGAAATTTCTAATGAGCAACCCAGTAAGACCAAAACAAGCTGTGGACTGCCATTTCCAAACAAACAGAACTTCAGAAAGAAGCAGTCAAGCATCAAGCAAAGCTATTCAGAGTCATGTGAATATAGTCACTTCCTAGTCCAATCCTTGCTAAGAAGCAGAAGACTTTTCTTACATTGATATTTGGAGATGGTTTATGAAAACTATCTTTGAATGCTAAAAGCAGCCAAATTGTGCCACTCAAAGATATTTATCCGATAAAACTGAATGTTCTTACCATTTGGAAATCTGTCTTGAAGACAGTTCTGCATCATCCGCTGGGAAAATAGTTAGCACTGATCTGTTCACTGCATTTAAATACTTCTCTGCATGCTTCTGTTCAGGAGTAGAGAGAATTATGTATGTATATATCTGTATATAATTGCATCCATCTCTCTCTCTTTCTCTCTCTCTCCCTCCCTCTAAGTAGTCCTTGATTTACACAATTGAGCCCAAAATTTCTGCTGATAAATGAGACATTTGTTAAGTGAATTTTGCCCCATTACGACCTTCTTGACAAATTTTTTAAGTGAACTACTGCAGTTTTTAAGTTAGTTACATGGTTAAGTGACTCTGACTTCCCCATTCACTTTGCTTGTTAGGTTGCAAAAGGTGATCACATGACACCAGGACACTGCAACCATCATAAATATGAGACAGTTGTCACATATTTGAATTTTGATCTCATGACCATGGGGATGCCACAATGGTCGTGTTAAAATGGTTATAATTCACTTGTTTCAGTGCTCTTGTAACTTCAAATGGTCACTAAATGAACTGTTGTAACTCGAGGACTACCTGTGGATTTTATTTCCCACTAAAGAAGAGGCAACCCACTCACCCTCAATCTGTTCTCTGCCCTTTCAACAACCAGTTCCAGACTCTCAGCCTCTGCTGCTTCCCAGTCGTGGCTGAAATCTCGCAGTTGTTCCTTCAACTGTTGAAGATCTTCTTGAACCTACAAAACAAAGCATGCACTGAATATACAAGAATATAAATGCATTTCTGAAGTTAAAACTGAAAATCTCAGAGTCTGCTGGAATATTACAAGTGGAGAAACCAGACAAAAGCTGGCATCTCAAATCTGATATTATCCAAAGCACCAGAAGGCAAGACAAGAAACAAGAAAAGAAACTAACCAAGGAGAGAATTAAGGAGAAACTTCCTAACAGTGAGGACAATCAACCAGTAGAACAGCTTTTGCCTCCAGACGTTGTGGCTGCTTCATCACTGGAGGTTTTTAAAGAGAGACAGGACAGCCACTTGTCTGAAATGGTATAGGGTGTCTCGTTTGAGCAGAGGGTTGGACTAGAAGACCTCCAAGGTCCCTTCCAGCTCTATTCTGATTGAATAGCTGGGGGTGGGATAGCTCAAATATAAAGTATACTCTAACAAGGCTACTTGGAAAAAAACAGGCTGGGTTCAATGATGTCCACAAACCAACGTAACAACACATAGGCAATGAAATCATCACAGAAATATTATTACCATCTTGCATCAGGATGTCGGCGAGAAGTGTGTGTGATTGCATCGTAACACTTGTCAATATTTACCTGCTGACCTTCTCCGCAGATGCGCCTGACTAGGTTAACCTATTCAGCCATAAAGCACTGTTGACAAAACACCAAGGCTAAACCAACATCAAACAGCCACATTCTGTCTCAGTGCATAATGTAAACAAGGCTACCCTGTTAAGCCATGTGATTTGACTTCTTTGCTTAGCATGATGTGCGATTTCTTAACTGTGTTTGATGGATTAGTGTGCTATACAAACATAGTCTGGCTCAAACACCAATTGTATTGATTTAGGCTTCAGTTCCAATAATAGGTTTAACACTCAATGAGACTTGCATATGAAGGATTCTACTGTGCAGCTGAATTCCAATATGCACTCCAACTGGGAGTAAGTGCCAATAAAGTTAATAATCTTGCTTCTGAACATTTTTAACTATTAAAATATCTTAAGATTTCTAATCTGTCACAAAGCCTTGTATGTTCTTAGGAGCAACCAACCAAACTTCATTTGCAAAAAGTTTTTTTTGATTCCTCCCCCCTCAGCTTTATTTTATCACAGACAGAAAACACTGTTTTTTATTTCAGCCATGTAAATACATTTTAGCTTAAGCAATTACACAAATAGATTTCTTCCTCCGAATTGTCTTTTAACAACTTCAATCATGGAAAAATTTTGGATGCAGTAAAAATCCAGTAAAATGATTTATTGCTTGCTCAGCATTCCTGACTTAACTATTCCACTGCCTGTTATGCAGAGCTGCTTTGAAGGAAGCTAACAAAATTGGTACCTGGATCCACAGATAGCCATCGAGTTACAACAGCAATGGAGAATGCCCATCGTGGCTGTAACCTGATTTTATGACCTTTTTGTGGCAGTTAAGTAAATCCCTGGGCCATTAAGTAAATCTGTGATCATTAAGTGAATATCCTCGTTGTTAAGTGAGCCAATAGCTTTCTACGGGCGTGGTTTTGTAGAGAACTGGAGGTACAATGCATTCAGAAAGTATTCAGACTCTTTCGCTTTTGACAATTTTGTTATGCTGCAGACTGATTCTACAATTGTTGAAATTCATTTTTTCTCATTAATGTACTTAATACCCCATGACAAAGTGAAAACAGAATTTTAGAAATGTCTGTAAATTTATTAAAAAGAAAAAACTGAAACATCACATGAGCATAAATGTTCAGACCCTTCACTAGGTACTTTGTTGAAGCATCTTTGGCAGCAATTACAGCCTCGAGTCTTTGGGGGTATGACGCCACAAGCTTTGCGCACCTGGACTGGGGGACTTTCTGCCCTTCTTCCTTGCAAATCCTCTTCAGCTCAGTCAAGTTGGATGGTGACTGTTGATGGACAGCCATTTTCAGGTCCCTCTGGAGATGTTCAATAGGGTTCAAGTCAGGGCTCTGGCTGGGCCTCCTTAGGATATGCAGTTGTCCCTAAGCCACTCCTGGGTTGTCTTGGCTGTGCACTTGGGATCACCGTCATGTTGGAAAGTGAACCTTGGGCCCAGTCTGAGGGTCTGAGCACTGTGGAACATGTTTTCATTCATCTTTTTTGTTCAGATTCTCTTTGTCATCTGGTCAAGTAGACGTGATCCCTCAGATACTGATCCATCTCTAATTTTGGGGGCTTTGGTGAATTTTTTTGGGGTTTTTTAGCTATCCCACTACATCTTTTGTCATCTGTAAATTTGATAAGCATTCCCTCCACCCTTCATCTAGTAATAAAAATATTGAAGAATAGAGGACAGGACAGGACAATCTTTACTTTACTTAACAAATTCTAGATCAGGTGGTCAACATGAGCCAAATCCACCCTGCCATCTGTTTCTGTATGGCCCGTGAGGTAAGACTGGACAGGTGGGTAGGTAAGTGGAGCTAGCTAAGCCTGAACCTCAGCTGAGCTCCCAAGGCGAAAGGTGGGGCTGAGCATTCGGGGCATTGGTGGCCTCCTTGCTGGCACCGGGCTCCTTGGCCTGCAGAGCTGCCAGCTGTACCTGCAGAAGCGCAAGAGGGCTGGAGCCTCTCACCTCACCTGGCTCCTGAGGAGGGGGGGGGCTGTGTGTGTCAAGGAAAAGGAATTTCATCCAAAAAAAAGTGTGGAAATTTGTTTTCCCTCTACATAATAACCTTGTGTGAACCTCTTGGCCCACAAAGCTTAAACTATTTACTCTCTGGCCTTTCACACAAAACGTTTGTTACTCCTCGCTCTAGACTACACATTCTGTTATTCTCTTTCTAATGTCATCCAGAGAGACTCGTCTTAGTCCGCCCGGCTTTAGCTCAGGGCAGCCTCTGGCCAGAGATCCCGAGTCAAAGAACCATAAATACAGTCTTCATTTTTTTAAAAACCGGCGCGCTGCAAAGCGGGCCGAGAGGCTTTGCCAACCCGGCCGCGGTCAATTTACCAGGCACGCTACGACGCAAACCCATGGCAGGCTGCAGGGCTGTGGAGCCCCGCCCATCGTGGTTTATGCAACAGACCACGGTTAGCCAGAGGCGGCCTCCCTCGACCCACCTGCACCAGGACGCCGCCCAGCTCGACACCCGGCCCGGCCGCCCCCGCCATGGCGGAGCCGCCCCCTGCAGAGCGCGGCAAGTCGCCGGGAGCCACGTGACCTCGCCTCCTAGCAACGGGACGCGCGGCCCGGGCGTGGACCATGAGCCCGTCGGAGGGGGGAGACCGGCCGTAGCAATGTGAACTGGACCCAGCTCCGTTTTCTGTTCGCGAAAGAAAAGAGGCGCGGAGGTGTCTCTGCTTCATTTCTCAGGATTTCGGAGATTACGGGTTCCGTCAGCTGCAGCCGTTCACTGAGATTATTCGCTTCCCCCCCCCGCGCCATTGTTAAAATGGTAAGGGCCGGAAAGGGCGGGGCCTGCGCCGGAAAGGGAAGCGCCGGGCCTTTCACGATCGCTGGCGTGCGCGATGGCCGTCCCGTGCGCCTTGATCGCCAGCTGCGCCGCGGGCTTCCCCGGGGAGGAGCTGGCGAAACGTGAGTCGGCTCGAGCCCCGGCCTTGCTTTACCCTCCCCGGAGGCCTTTTCCCGGCGCTGCTTCTACCCTGCCCTGTCCGTGGCGAGAGATGTTCCCCTCTGAGCCCCGAGAAGCAAAGAGTCCCTGAGCATGTACAGAGTGCGCCCGATGGCAGCTGCTCTCCCAGCCGGCAGTGAAATCCCTAATGTAGCCCTCAGGCCTGGACTTAATCTGGGTGAGCGCGGGAGGGCGGCAAAAGAGGGCCCGCCTGCATGGTGAGGATGCTCGCCTAGCAGCCAGGAGAGTGAATTCTGGGCCTCTCGCCCAGGCCCCGGCCCAGGCCCCGGCCCAGGGTGCTTCTTGGTTGCGGGACGGGTTCCCCACCTTGAGTTGACAATGCGTTTGTGTCTGCGCACATGTAGTTGCTGTGGATAGATGGGTGGCATATAAATTTAACTGTGGTGTATGTGTGTGTGTATACACACGCACACAATCACACACACATTTAAAAAGGTGGGCTAAAATAATAGTAAAAGCTGTTTGTCTTGCTCCTCCAGATTATTGGGGGTCATTAGGATCATCCTAATGAAATATTGAGCAGGACGAGCAGGATTCATCTTTTATGAATTTGCATTTTGCTTTTTAGTCAGAAAGATTTTTTCTCTCCACTTCCCACCCAAAGGAAGAGAGAAAAGTGGTAGAGGAGGAACCTCCTTTTTGAGACCAGGAAGGAGTGCTGAGCAATACTTTGGCTTTTGTGGGAAATGCATGCTGGGTTGGTTTCAGCTTCCTGCAGATCTTCCTCCAAACGTTGATAGTCGCCTTTTGTTCTAAGGAAGCTAGATGGGCTTAGAACATTTTCAATGTCTCACTTAGTTTGTTTAATTTTGCCTTTGGATCCTCTAGGAGGGGTCATTGCAAGTTTCCTGTTTCCTTCCTCTTCTTTAAAAATAAGGATAAAAATAAAATTTCCTATTTTAATTGATTACAAATAAATATGCGGAACAAATGTCTGTCCAAGAACAACAGTCCACTATTTTTAGATATTCAATAGCTTTTGCTATTGAAATTTCTTTTAATGTTTGGTTGAAATGTACTGTACTGTATTCATTTTCAGTTTTCAGTTTTCACCACCTACTGGTAGTTCTAATCCTGCCTATTGAAGTGTCAGTTGCCCCATGTTGCCATTTTAAGCATAGCAGCCTCTTGGATATTTGAAGATAATTATCATGGTCACCCTTTAATTGCCTTTTCTACAAGCTAATCATATCCCTGTCTTTCAGCCATTTCATATGGGATTTTATTTTCAAACACATCCTGTTGTGGTTACTATTGCTTGACACAATCCAGTTTGGCAGCATCAAATAAGTGTCCCATCTAGTCTGATTAGCACTAAACGGTTCTACCACTTTTGTGATTTAGAAATTATTGTTGAATTCAAACTGAGATGCTGTTTGTTTTTTTAGTAAAAGTAATAGACAGCTGGCTCAGTGATTAATCTGTTGCATGGTTGTGTCTTCATTTTTTTTACCTTAAATGCACGATTTTTAATAGCTCTCACAGTGAGGAAATTCCTCTATTTCCAGTTTCAGTCTCCCACTGTAACATATTCCCCCATAGGCTCTTATCTTTGGGAGCTATGAGAAATAAATCCTTCTTTCCTGTGACAGTCCTTTAAATATTGTCTCCCCATAGCCTTTTTACTTTAGTTTGAACATTGTTTTGTTGTTTTTAACTAATTAGTCATGTCCAACTCTTGGTGACTTTATAGGCAAGTGCTCTCCATGCTACCCCTGTCAAGCACAGCTTCTTTCAGTTGTTGGGTGCTCAACGTTGCATGGAGATTTGATGTTATCAAGCCAGCGCGTTCTTTGCTTGCCCCGTCTTGTTGTTCCACCAGCCATTCCTAGCACCGCTGGCTTCTCCAGTGAATTTGCATGCATGACATGGCCAAAGAAAATCAGACGTAGTCTTGTGATTTTAGCTGCTAGTGATGTTTCTGGTTTTATATGATTTGACACCTCTCTGTCAGTTATTCCGGCTGTCCATGGTATACGCAGTAATTTACCCCAGCGCCACAGTTCAAAGGAGTCAATTCTTCTGGGATCAGTCATTCTTAGTGTCCCAATCTCACGCCCATGCATCGTAATAAGGAAGACTATTGCTCTAGCAGTTGAACATATCCAGGTCCTTTAACTGTTCTTCATAAGACTGAACTTCCAGGCCCTTTGCCACTCGTTCCAGTTCCTCAGCATCCCTCTTGCACTCTGCTGACCGGAATTAGACACCGTGTTTGGGTGTGGTCCGATCAGTGCAGGGTAGAGGAGAACGGGCACTTTCCGCAGTTTTGACATTAACGCTGTTGATGCAACCCAAAACTGCATTGGCTCTTTTGACAGCCGGAGCCGGTTGCTTTGTGCTTGGGCGGAAGGATGTGTGCTTCATTCCACCAGGTGGCTCTCCAGGCACGCTGTGTTCGCAGACCAATGCAGTGGAACCATGAAACGGGGATCATCTTAAAAAATACTTTTAAAAACGTTGAAAGATACTTGTGAAGTGAATTAGCAATGCTGGGAGCTTAGGTCAGAAGGATTTGGCAGCAATAATTTTAAAACTTTAGTAGTCCAATAGTTAGAAGTATGCTAGAAGAAACATTTTTAATCTTATGAATTTGAAGTCAAGACCAAGATTAAGCTGGGGAGAGCCAGAATTTGGCTTCTGTGTGGAGTCCTCCTTCTGCTGTCCGGCTTTAGCCCAGGATTAGGAGCACTCGCTGTGTTTTTTCAAAAAATTGCGATGTGTGGGATTGTGTTTGTGTACTGAACAATCTTGACAGTGGATAACCAACATGGAATTTGCAATCCCGTTTGTATTTTTTAGGAAGTATGAGGAAGGAGGTATAGGCAGGTGGATATATATGTACTGTACAGGTCGTCCTCGACTTACAGCCATTTGTTTAGTGACTGTTCGAAGTTGCAACAGCCCTGGAAAAAGGAGTTTATGACCGTTTTTCACACTTACGATTCTGTTATGGATGGAAGCTTATCAGACAGAGACCCAGCCTAGAACTAAGGAGAAACTTCCTGACAGTGCGAACATTTCATCAGTGGACAGCTTGTCTTCAGAAGCTGTGGGCGCTCCATTGCTGAAGGCTTTCAAGAAGAGATGGACAACTATGCGTCCAGAATGGTATAGGATCTCCTGCTCAAGCAGAAGGTTAGACTAGAAGACCTCCAGATCCCTTCCAACTCTGTTATTCTGTTATTCTTTCAATGGCTAAGTGATCGATCATAAGTCGATGACCCCCAGTATAGTAAATGTTAATGAAGTCATGTACGCTGATGTTAATGAAGGAGATGTCAATCTGATCATTTTGAAAAGTCAAGAATACATGATTGATGGAGAATTTGATCCCTTGTGCTGGTGTTGGTAAAGGAGATGGAGCAGGATTGCACAGCTCAGCGGTAACTCCGGCAGTGACCGACTGGAGATTCATCCTCTAACTCAGTTTGGCTCTGAGGAAAAGTGTTGGGCTGAAGCAGCTGTTACCTTTTTCATTTGACACGTCTGTGTGTTCCGGTGGTGTTCCTCTGCCTCTGATTGTGTGAGGTGGTATGCAAATATGGGGCCAGCTGTTGCGTTGCAGGGAGGGCTGGTCTGGGGCATGGCACAGGATCAAGTCCAAGAGCTGGCATGCACTCTATGAAAACAAGCCGTAGAAAGCTAGCTTGGGAGGCCTGCCAAAAGGTTGTGGTTGCCAAAGCATCAGTTGATTTTTTTCTCTCTCTCTCTCTCTCCCAAAACTTTTTGTATGTGATACCACAGGCCCGCCCTGAGGTTGGAAATATCAAAAATTAAAGTGAGCAGTTCTCCCACGACACGGTTGTTTCCCAACCCACTATTTTTGTCATTATGGCGGGTTTGGGGAAGGACTTTTGGGGGGTTGGGATGTCAGCCTGAAAGCCTATCCAAAAATGGGTATATTCTCTGCAGCTAGATATAGAAAGGTGTCATTATAGAGTGTGAGGCCTAGGTGATTTTTGTATGAAAATGTGCACAGCTTCTGTGGGGAATTTCCTAAGGCCAGCCGTCTGAACAAAACGGTTCCAAGATTCTAGACAACCAACGGGTGTTTTTTACACCCTGGTGTGGGTGGCAATGGGAAGCCTATTTATACTTAGCCGGCTGGGTCAACCCTTCTCGTGGGCAACTGGTAAAAACAGATGAAAGATAATTCTGGGAACAGCATTATGTGCGAAGGGGAGGGTGGAGGTGGGGATCTGCCACAATTCTGCCCAGCCCACAAAGTGTTTCACCGTCCATCAACCCGAAAGCAGGAGAGGGGATTGTTTTTTCAGACGTGAGCCCCCTTTCCCCCCCTTCCTCCCCAGGTCTTTTCCTTGCCAGGTTATTTAGGTCTCTTTGTTCTGTCTTGCAGTTATCACCGGAGGAGGAGGAGGAGGAGGAGGAGAAGAGCTTGCTGAGCATATTGCCGCAGAGAGCGGAGCCCGGTTGTACCCCTGGACGATAGACAATAAGTATTACTCGGCTGCCATCCATCTCTGCGTGGTGGCAAATGTGTTTCAGGTGTCGGCGGAAATTGCAGAGTCCATTCAGGCTTTCCTGGTTTACTTCGACAGCACCACAGTGAGTGTTGCCCTGCAGTTTGGGATGTAGAGTAGCATAGCGTAGCGTAGCATAGCAGAATTGGAAGGGATCTTGGAGGTCATCTAATCCAACCCCCCCCCCCCCCGGTGGACATTCTGGTTCAGAAACTGTGGGTGGTGGTCTGCCATCGATGACCTGTAATGTTTGTTGAACTGATGAATGTATTACAATTATAAAGCACCGTCTGCTTTCAAATCAATTCCTTCCCAGTGTTTGGAGAGTGATTTTAGAGAGTTTATGGGTGGGAAATTCTGGAAGTTGAAGTCTAGACATCTAAAAGTTGCTAAGGTTGAGAAATTCTGGTTTACATGAAAAGATACGCATTGCCATACATTATTCTTCTATACTTTCTGAGAATTTATCGAGGGATTTGTTGGATGTCTGTTTTTTTATTTATAAATTTTATTGGCCGCCCATCTTAGCACAGGGTAACCCAGGGTAACAATCATGTTATTGATTGTAGAACTTCCACTAGTCTGCATAACCTGGGTCTCCCTCCATGGTATGAAGGGGGGGGGCTGGTGGTGCAGGACCTGCTGGATCGGGAGCCGGGAGGCCCAAGTTCAAGTCCCCTCCCAACCACAGACACTCCTGGGGCCACTTTGGGTCAGACTCTCAGCCCAGACTGTCCCATAACCTTGTTGCGAAGGGAAAAAACCAGGGAACACAGATTGTGTATGTTGTCTTGGCTTCCTGAATGAAGGATGGGCTATTTTCTATCAAATATGTAAAATTGTGAAATCTACTTGCTTAGATTCCATTGTTGTTGTTGCGGCTTTGATACTGCTCTTCCTTTTTATAAAAGCATCTAAATGTAAACAATGCCTAAACATTATGTATGTGTGATGGATATACCGTTTGATTTGACTTCTGTGGAATCAAGAAATCACAGGGCTGGGAGGGACCTTGGGAGTCTTCTGGCCTGCCTCAGGCAGGAAACCTCCTTGCATCCCAGACAAATGGCTGCCAATCTTTTCTTGAAGGCCTCCAGCAATGGAGCACCCACAGTGTAGATATAGCAATGTATGCAGAAGCAGCAAGTGGGTTGGTTGAAATGCATATGTTAAATCTAAACCTAATTTTAGAAGTAGATAGATGTGACTCCTAGGAAGAAATGTAAAGATTTGAACACCAGCAACCCTCTGCCTATCACAGATATTCCTGAGCCCCTAGGCTTTCATTCTGTGGAGAGAAGGACCACCTGCAGCCCTAAATGGGAATTCTCTGTCTAGACCTGTCCCTTTTTCTCTTCTTTTGTGTTCCTTAGCAGGGCAGGAGACTCTTTCTCAGTTATCTGCAACTCCTTGAGAGTCACTGGGTAGTGGCCATTAAAGGAAAAGAGGAAAGCAATTGAGCCAGGATCTCAGAACAAGCCACCTTGGGTTCCAACTCTCTTTTCTTCCATGGAGAAAGCTAGTGTAGCAGCTTGACTTGGAATCAAGGACAGATCTCATTTCATGCCTATCCTGGGGTGGTTGTGCTTTTACACGCTCTTCAAAGTTCCACAGTAATCTCCGCTGGTGAAAAGTTATGAAAACTTTAGATAGGTAAAATCATCTTGTAGTAGGCTTGCAACTCTGTGCAGTGTGTTTAGATTGCTGGACAACAACCCTGCATCATGCCTCTACTCCTTGGTTGGTTAAGCGGGCCCAAGAGTCCTAATGGTTGATGCTTGCCCATAGATGTCAAATTTGTAGATTTTACATTAAGGTTAGATTTTTGATCCAAATTTTAAGGTGGCTGATCTCCCTTCAAACTTTTCTGCTTCTGAGCATTTTCTTTTTACAAGGATTGTTACAGAATCAGATATGTTTTTGCTTGTAATACTCCATAAAGCCCGCAGCGAAGAAGCCAGCTATTTGTACCCTTTTACAGGTATCGGGGCTGGATGCTGCCTCTCAGTGGCTTCCTCTTATAGAAGACTGGCTACCAGAAGTGATGATCTTGGTCTGTGACAGAGTCTCTGAAAATGGTAAGGTGACGAGACCAAACTCTGGTTAGGGTGTGAATCTTGGCTGAAGCAACAGAAGGAGCAGCTTGGATTGGAAAGGCCACACAGTGGTGCCTCAGTACTCATTGTTAATTGGTTCCAGGAGGGCTGATGAGTACCAAAAACAATGAGTACCAAACAAATTTTTGCCGTAAGGAATAATGTAATGAGTCACAAGGCAGCTGACACCGACAAGTTCTAGCTTGTGTGTTGAGTATCAAACAAATGATGAGTATCAGGGCAAAATGTTCATGTCAGAATGCATTGAGTAGCAAATTTGATGAGTACCAAGGTGCCACTGTATTTGCAAAATCTGAAGCTGAGAGCTGTGCTAAGCTCCACAGGCTGCTTTCTGGGCTACAATTCCTCAGTGCTGGTCTTACGACAGGCCAGCTAAGCAACTGCCGACCGCACAGGGCTGCCTCAACATCCCAAGGCGGTAGAACAACTCCCCAATTAAAATATTACATTTAAAGAACTACCATGTTTACCTGCAAGAAAATTGACCAAATGGAAAATAACTATGAAGTGTATTCAGTAAACATTTGATAGGTATAAGCAAACGTTCTCTGGAAAGCCCATTTCTCAGCCTGTCCAGCAACTTTGGCCGACTCCGATTGGAAGCCCTCTGAATGATTTAGGCCTTCCCGTGGAATGGGAGTAGTCCTGGCTTAGCCACCTGATTTGGGATTGGAATTTCCATCGCTGAGTGAAACGTCATTTGGCGAGACATCACAGACCCCACTGCCCAACGGAGGCAGCCTCGATAGTCCCCGTTGCAGTTGTTAGGATGGGGCCATTGTCTTCTCTTATGCTGCTCTGCTCGCCTCCACTTGAACTCCCCCAGCCATTAGGCTTCCCCATCCCTGCCCTTCTCCCTGCCACTGGCCTCCGGCCCCCTCCCACCTCCCCTCGGCCCCTCGCCATCTTCCTCCTGCTGCTGCTGAGGGGGAGGAGCTGGGCCCGCCCGGCCCCTTGCCAGCCTTCTGCCCAAGGCTGCGTGGTGAGTTTGGGGGGAAAGGCTGCCTGTGCCCACCAGCTGCCTCGTGCAGGGCCAGGCCAGGAGCGCCTGGTCAGCGGTTGGAGGAGGAAGGCGGCCGAGGTCAGCGGGGGGAGCAGGGCAGAGCGGAGCACAGGATGGCCCGGAGGGCAGAGATGGAGGAATAGGCCTTCATGTTCATTTCCCGTTTACTTTAACATTTCCAGCGCAGCAGATCATTCCAATGTACCGGTTGCGTTCTTTTCCTGTCCGGTGACAGCTTCCCCCTGCTGAGCAGGTTGCCCACCTGCAGCGTTCCCCAGAAGGTGCCAGGAGGTTTCAGCCGTGCCTGCCCTCCCGTGAGCTTTCCCACCCCAGTGCCCTTTTCTCTCCTCCGTGCAGGTGTCCCCCGGCAGAAGGCCCAAGAGTGGTGCATCCAGCACAGCTTTGAGTTGGTGGAGCTCAGCCCAGAGGAGCTTCCGGATGAGGAAGGTGAGATTCGGCTTTTGCCTTCCGCCCGCAGGGACTTTCAAGCCGTTTGGTTTCCTTCTGCTCATCGGCAAGTTTTGTCCTTGCCAGAAAAAGGCCCGTATTTCTGCCGGAAGCATCGCTTCTCTCCCCACCCAATCAGTGGGGCTGCTGCGTCACAGATAGTCGGAGACCGTGGTTTTGGGATGTGTGCAAGGGCGTCTACAGGGTGTGGTAAAAAAAAAAAATCAAGCTGGTAGCCACAACAATGTGGTTGCAGTTCTTATTTTTTGTGGGCATTGTGCATAACAAAGAGGCGGATCATCTCTCCTACCATTGTAACTGCCAGCTCAGCTTTTAAAAACAACCCTGGACTTATGGATCAGTACATAATAAATCCAGTCTCTTTGAGTGTCTACTTTTTCAGACCTTTTTTTAAAATGCACATCTATTGCATTCACCACATTGTCTCAGGAGCTGAGCTTTTTGGCGTGCTTCTTTCTGACTTTCAAAATGTTGAGATACTTTTTGCAGAGAGAGTGAGTAATGGATCACATGCCAGATATTGGAAGGTTGCTGTTCCCCACCAGTCCCCTTAGAGAGAGGTGTGGGGTGCTTAAGATGCCCCACAGAACTGGTCCTTTAAGATGCTGCCTTCTGGCTCCTTTGTGTCATCCACGCCACGTCCGTAAACATTGGGGTCACAGCACTTTCTCTCATATAAGCTCCTGGATACTGGCAACCTTGAAAACCTCTCTCTCTCTCTCTCCCTCCCTCCCTACATACATGCATACATACATACATACATACATGCATGCATGCATACATACATGCATACATACATACATACATACATACATACGATTGTAAGTGGAGAGCTGCCCGTGGCGCTTCTCATTCAGATGGAGAACTGAGAACGGCTTCGTTCTCTTGAGCAGCGTCCAGGCTTCTCCTCCTCCTCAGTTTCTGACAAAGCCCTTTTAACGAGTCGTATTCCAACTCTGCTCTCCTCATCCCCACTTTAGACGATTTCCCAGAATCTACAGGAGTGAAACGAATCATCCAGGCCTTGAATGCCAACGTCTGGTCAAACGTGGTGATGAAAAACGGTATGGGCTTTTAAGGTCAGCTTTTAAAAATTAATGCAAATAATTTTCTGGCACGGGCATGGAGAAATTCTTCCCAGACGTCTGGTACACTGGGAGGCAATTCTGTGGGGATTTCTTCCCCGGCAAGGGTCCCTGTTACCTGAGGAATGTCTGGGAGGGCAGAGGCAACCATCACTTGCTCCGAACTGTCCACGCGGGGCACCTCGCGGTAGAACAACGGGAAAGCAAATTCTGGGTGGACGGTGCGTCATCCCTATAAGAAGAATTCGACAGTGGAATCAGTTGTCCAGAAAGATGGCAGAAGTAATGTGGATGCCTTAATCAATGGATTCTTGCAGCAGATTGGACTCCTTGAATCGTTCTTCAGTCCTTCCCGTTCTTCATGGCACAGGCAGTCCTTGACTTACAGCCATTTGTTTAATGACCATTCAGAATTACAGTGGCACTGAAAAAAGTGGCTTATGATCAGTTTTCACACTTAGGACCGTATCGGCATCCCCACTTGGTCATGTGACCACATTTTGGGTGCTTAGCCACTGGCGGGTATTTAGGACGGTTGCGGCATTCTGTGATTCTTGCTTGCCAGTTTCTTAGGGAGCTTCCGATACGCGAAGTCAGTGGGGGCAGCCAGATTCCCTTTAATGACTGCATGATTCACTTAACAACGTCAGTGATTCATTTACAGTCATGGCAAAAAAAGTTGTAAAATGGGGCCTGATTTAACAAAAGTTGTAAAATGGGGCCTGTCTTGCTTAGCAGGGGAAATTTTGGGCTCAATTGTGGTTATAAGTCGAGGAGAACCCGTGTCCCTTAGAAACTGGTCTTCGAATGTGGTTCTGGTTTTGAGACTTTTTGGAGAGCTGCAGAGTGGAGCTCACGGTGCTTTGTAGGGTGTCTTGCAGCCAAATGGAGCCCCGTCTGGAAGCAGGAGTCAAAAAGGTCAAGGTGGCCGCCGCGACGGGGCCCTCAAGGCTCCGCCTGGCTTTTGCGGGGGAGGCCCAGGTGACACCCAGGAGGGGTGACGGAGGGCTTGTAGGCAGCCTGTCGGGCAGAGGAAACGCAGCTTTAGGCTTCCCTCTCTCTGGATTTTACTTCGCGAGGCCATTTGCGCGTGCGAGAGATGATTGGTGCACTCGGATTTAATTCTGGGTGAGCAGCCTGTTTTCCCTGCCCTGCGCAAAGCCAGTGTGAGACGGTGCGGGTGCCCCCCTTCCCCCCCCCCAGGACGGGAGTGTCAGCCCGGCCGCAGCGCCTTCGGCCTGGAAGGGCCTTCCGCACCCGGCGGCTTCCTTGGGCAGAAGCGTAACTGGCAGCCGAGACATTCAGGTTTCCTTCTCGGTGCTCTCGGTCCGAGTCATTGGCCGACCTGGCTGGCCGCTCGGCTTTGCTCTGTGGGTGGGGGGGGGGAAGCTGCTGCTGCTGCTCTCCTGCTAGGAACGGCCCCGGTTTCACCCCCTGCAAAAGCTTCACGCCACAGTCTGGGAGGGAGAGACTTTGGGGGGATGGACTTGCTTTTCAGGTTCGGGGTGAAATCCATGTTTGTGGAGAATACCCTTTTGATTGCTGATGGCAGAAGCAGCTGCCCAGGGCGGTGGAGGGGAGGAGGGGTCCCCTCTGTGAAACACGTCCCAAGAGGTTGGTGCTCCTGCAGGGGCAGGAAGGAGCCCAGAAAAGCCGCAGCTGCTCCCAGGTTCTGCTAAGAAAGGCCGGAGGGGAAGCCTGGTGGAGTCCTGCAATTGCTGCTGCTAGACCAGGGGCCCCCAACCCCCCTGGCCACGGGCCACTATTGGGCCATGGCCCATGTGGAACTGGGCCAAGCAAGCAGCGGGCAAACGTGCCTGCAGGTGCAGCTGCATTTGCACAGGCGCCAGGCGCTCGTGGCTGAAGCTCCGTCTGCACAAGGGTCAGGGGCCCCCGTGCAAAGCACCATTTGGAACCAGCCCCTCCCCCCAACCCCCACTGGTCCGCCAGGCCGGAAAGGCTGGGGGCCACTGCGCTAGAGCCCCGTCCTCTGGCTTTAGCCTATTCCAGGATGGTGACCGGCCTTCAGGGACCAGCACATTCAGGCAGGGGCCACGTGGGGGCCCCTGAGCCACGTCCTGGAGTGTTGCAGCCACAGCCTCCGGGTAGCTTGGCCTCTGGCTTCTGGCTGGGAGTTTCTGAAGCTGCAGCCGAATGCCCTCCAGGCCAGGCCAGGCCAGGGCAGGGCGATGCCCGGCCAGCCATTGGAGGGCCTGGCCTTCTGCTGACTGACCATCCTTTCTTCCTTTTCAGAGGCAAGCCACAGCTTTGGCCTTTTCCCAGCCTTAGCAGGGGCAGATCGCAGGATCGGGTCAGAAGAGAACAAAGCTCCAGAAGTAAACAGTCATTTTTAAACATTCCTGGGTGGGACCTCTGTCTCCTTACAGCTTCATCCTTGGCTGTTTTGCCTTTCTTCTTAGAGGCAGCTCTGCATCTCTTATGCCCCTGATTTAGCTCCGGGGTACTCCATTTTATTAATTCACTGGGCAGGGCCCTTCATCCTTTCTTCAAACATTTAATGTTGTTTTTTACAATTAAAACATCGTGTTCCAGGGATCCCCATATTATTTCTGCTTGGTATTGCAATTGGAATTTACCTAGATTTAGACAAAATGTCCTTTTGAACTGGTTTGGCTCTCGTTGGCCTCATGGGATTTGCATCTTTGAGGCTGGCTCAGCACAGCCCGTACTTGGTGCCCATTTCCACTGGCGGGGGTTTCATCTGACGCGACTTCTTTCCCTGCCCGCCAGGCCAACTGTTTGCCGCCGGCCGAGAGGGCCCAAGCTGTGGTGGATTCAGAAGCTGTGGCTCCTGCGGATGGAGCCCAGGGTGACCCCATTGCTGGTAAGAGCCTCTTTGCTAAGTCCAGCACTGGCGGCAGGGAGGGCAAGTAAGGTGAAGGGGAGAACGCAGGTCCGTTCCCTCCATCGGTTGTTTGCAAGAAGCTCCTTCAGCCCATCCGGTCTCCCCTCTCGGGAGGACTCTCACAAACGTCAGTGGCTCTCCTCACGCCCCAACCCACCTCCCGCTCAGCCAGTCAGCCTGGCCGAGAGCTGCCTCTGTTTTGGGCTTCTTTGCAGACCCAGCGCTGGACACGGACATTCAGGAGCTTGCTAGCCTCACCGCAGGAGAAGGAGACATTGAGAACTTTGAGCGACTCTTCTCCAAGCTGAAGGAAATGAAAGGTAACCTTCAGCTTATTTCCCCAAACTCAGAAAATAACTTGGTTTTCTTGCCAGTGTGCCAGGGCAGGGCTGACTTTCAGAGTGCAACAGCCAGGTCGCTCTCCTCAGGAGGGAGGGAGGGAGGGAGGGCCAGACGGATGCTGGGAAATGCAGTTTCCTAGTAGTGACCTCTAGGAAGCAGGAGGAGTGCAGCAGAGCAGCCCTGTGCTCTGGAGGCCTGCTGCGCTGTGCTGGCCGGCCTCCGGTTGCCTCTGCCTTTACAGGAGCAAGAAAGGAAAGCTGGAAGTTAGGAATCCATCCTGGCCTTCTGGCAACTGATGTTAAGACAAAAATATTTGGGCACGTAACGCAAACCGTCTTCTGTCTCCCCAATTTACCTGCTGAAGTTAGAAAGAGCCTGGCTGGGTTTCCTCACTGGCATTGACCTGCCTTGAGCCTTGCAAAGGTTGGAAAACTGCCTAGAGAAGGAACAAGGAGTAACCTAGAAGGTGTGATCAGAGGTGGTGACAGGAGGAGCTGAAGTTGCACCCATCGGTTCCTGCCGGCCCATCGGCTGCTTCCGGCTTCTTTCAGGGCAGGCAGTTTCTGAGCAACAGACGGTCACGATCTGTCTGTCCTTTTCATGCCTTTGCACGTAGCCTTTTCTTTTTCATCCCCACCGAGTAACGACATCTTTCTTTGCTCCAGCTAAAGGTGACTTTTCTTTCCCTTTCATTCTCCAGAAAAGGCTGCCACTCTGCCTCGCGAACAAAGAAAGCTGCATGCCGAAAAGGTAAGATTCTGGAGTGGGCATACCTTTTCTGAGCCCAAACCCAGGCAGATGCTGCTTACTAGTACCCTAGTATCTCACGGAGAGATTTCTAGCCCTTGCCTCTTCCCTTACCAGCTTCTCTCCCCAACCAAAGTCAGAATTATTCATGCTCAGGTTTTTGTTTGTTTCTCCAAGTTGCAGCTCCCAGGAAGAAGTGAAGTGTGTACTGATGTCCTCCTGGATGAAGCTGAGAGATCTACCTGGAGGGAGCTTGTAGGGTGTTTTGTCTCCCACAGGTGTGGGGTAAGCCTCTGGGAGTTTCAGTTTGTTTGCTTGACTCCTAGGTTACCAAAGCCTTCTGGATGGCCATCGGGGGAGACCAGGATGAGATCGAAGGCTCATCTTCCGACGAGGGCAACTAAGGATGGGGGTTTGCAGACTGGAACGGGACTCTGGTTTTGAACGTGCGACAGTGGTTGGCTGCCACCACGAGACTTAGTTCATTCCTGTCCTTCAGCATTGAAAAGTAGCTGCCTCCGTTGTCCCCTTGTCTGGACTTACCAAGGGGATTGTGGACCTTCAAGTGAACAGAGCCTGTTCTCAGTTAAAGGAGAAGCTGCACCGTGTCTTTGCAGCTGCTGCTTTGGGATAGACCAAGCATGGTTCCATTGCCTTCTACCTTGTCTTCATATCAAAATACAGACTGAAATCTGGAGGGGAATGTTTGTAGAAAGTTATCTGTTAGTTTAGGAATCTTGATGTCCCTAGACCCTTAAAAGGGGAGAAATGCTGAAAAATGCAGCTTCTCTTGGCTCAACTTCATTTGGAATCGGATCCTGAGTGTTTTATCAAATGCTGGCTGGACAAGGGGAGATAGAGCTTGCATGCTGTCTATCCTGCCTGGAAGTTGAATATGAATTAGCACAAGGAGAAACATCTGAATGTCTCCTGTCAGTGGGAACTGAGAGAGGCTGTGTGCAATTCCCACCATGCTGGAAGGAGGCTATCGTTTCAGTCTTCGGAAACAACAAAAGGAGGGTCTTCCTTTGGGGAGGGGAGCATCTCTCTTTGGAAACCTGCAGCCAGGAAGGTTAGAATTCTACTAGGGGTCCCCAACCCCCGGGCCACCCAAGCAGTGGGCGAGCACACATGCACAGCTCCACTTGGGTGACGGGTGTTCACGCGCAAAGCTCCTTATTTGTGATTGGCAGGCATGCACGCCACTTGCACGAAGAGCTGCATGTGCTCACGAGCACGTCTTGACACTCGCAGGGACCCATCCCCTTACCCCCACCCCGCCAGGCCGCCCCGCTGGAAAGGTTGGGGATTGCTACCTTATGCAGAAGCAGCAAGGCTGGACCTGTAGCAGGTGACAGGCCCTGCAGACTGTTTCCTGCAAAAGACATGTAAATCTTGGGGCTCCCTATTAGTGTCAGCAGAACTCTGCCATCTGCTCCTGCTCTCAGGCCTGAAGCAGCCTCCCAGGCAGATAAAGCACTCCAGAGTCTAGTTACTGTGGCTGGGAAACTTCACCATTGCAGCCTGCTGGGATCCCAGCGTTCTGTGCAGTTCTTCACCCTTTCTGCTGGGAGATGTGGCCCAGTCACCCAGCCCCATCCGGGTGCTCACAAGCTGCTTTGGGCTGTGGCTCCCAGCCTCTGCAGCCATTAATCACGGGTTGGGTCGGATGCGAGCTGCTGCTGCTGCTGAGGCCTGGAGAGGGCCCTGTGGAGAAGGCGACTGAGTGGTGGTCCAGCCACGGATGGACCCTTTATTTGGTGTTGTGTTAGGATGAATAAAGTCTGCTGGAAACAGACTGCTGTTTGGTTGGTTTGCATTCTGCCCTTCCAAGAAGATCTGGTGATGCAGCAACCTGGCCTCTGCAGGCAGGCAGGCAGGCACAAGAGCTTTGAGGGGCTGCTGAGTTTGGGACAGGCGGGCTTTTGAGGGGAAGGGACTGGCCACGAACGATGGACACAGATCCACTTGACAGCCAGGGGACCCAGCTAGGCGAAAAAGGGAAGCAGCTTCTTAACTAAACCTAAGGATGTGCCTCTTGCCTAACTTGTCAATGTTCACATTGCCCAGCTATACGCCCCGGAGTTCCCATCTGGCAAGGCCACCGCGTCTGCAAAGGAACCTTTGGGGAAGAAAAAACTTGTAGTTCCATAGGGACCAGCATGGCCTGTCCCGGTTGGAGCTGCTGCTTATTCCCTAGCTGGATTCGCATGACTTCTAAAACAGGAGAAGGATTCTTAAAAGTTTATTAGAAAGGAGGCAAAAAATATCCCAGAACTTGAAATTTCATGTAAAAAAAACCCGGACATGGATGTTATAAAAGCTTTTAATAGAGGTAAGCTAAAGGCCAAAAAGCAATATACAGCCGTAGGTGCAAAACATCCGGTGGGGAGCATGTCACAAGAGCTAGAGAGAAGCCCACTATTTCTCAAGAAAGCAAGAGCTGAACTACTTCCTTCCAAGGTGGGAAGGAGAGCTTGGCATACGCTGATGGTGCCAACGGCCTCATTGTATCAAGGGCTGCTAATGGAAAGGGAGGAGAGCAGAAAGAAGAAGGGCCACTTGCTTAGGATCCCTTTTGCTGCTAGAAGCCCGTCCCAACCTCAGCCCCCCCGTGTGAGGCACAAAGGCTCTTCTCTGTGTGTAGAGCAGCTTTCCTCGACTGCTCTCCTATGTTGGGGAATTGCCATTTCCCAATGCCCGACCTCTGTGGCCCACAGCCCCAACCCAGCCAATGACGGATGCTGTTTGCTCTCAGTCAGATGGGGGAGGCCCTCGGAGGGGGATGCTGGTCCTGCAGCCCCCACGGTCCTCTCTATGAGGTTGGCACCACAACTGCATGGCCCGTTCAGCTTGGAAAGTGTCACATGCACGGAGGGCCCTAAGAGTGCTGGTTATCCAAGGCAACAGTGAAGCAGGTGAACAGGTGCAAGCCAATCCAAAAGAAATTAAGTGCTTTGCTCCTGAGAAAAATGGATGGACTGACTTCTGTCTCATAGGTTATTTTATTGTCTGAATCTACATCGGACTATATACCTCTGTCAAATCTTTCCCCAACTCTTGAAGTTGAGAAGTATCTTGAGGAAATCTGGCTACTACATTAGTTGCATAAATAAATATATACCTAAAACCATGTTAAAACATTTTAACCACACCTTCCTACTGGAGGGGCTAATCATTTCTTACCCTACCCTAGGACATTTTAAACTCTGGTTCTGCCGGCCTCTTGAGGATTTAGAAGCACGGAGCTCACTTTTAGAAACCCCGACACCCCTGCCCATCCAGAACACAGCCAGCCTCCTGCCCAGTCCGCTCCCAGCCAGCCTGATCATCTAGCAGTTGATCTCAGCACAGCTTTCAACCGTTCTTCAACTCTGCAGAACCATCCTTGAATTCTTACCCTTTGTGTCCTTTTGCTGGAAAGCTTCCAGCAGCCTCTTTTCTCCTGAAACCCCCAGCCAGCCCATTTTCAGTCCTTTTCTGACGTGAGGATGCTGTTCCCAGGGGTCTCTAGACAGCTCAATACGAAAACAATGCACACTGTGATTTGGCTCATTATCATACAAGGGGAAAAAAAGTTTTATCGAAGTCAGTAAAATCCCGAGTGCATCCTGGCCGTCTGGACATGCCAGCCAGCAGCTGCGTAAGGCAAAAGAGTCCAGGTCAGCTCCTGATCAATCCACTGAGCAGATGAAGGAGGAGATTCCAGTCATGGGGTCGCTGCTGCATCTTAAGGTCCTGCACAGATTAAAAGTTCAGAAGCCGCATGGTTTGGCAGGCAGATGCATGCGCTCACTGCATCACCCAACAGCATGGGGCAAGAGCTTCAGACTGAACGGGCCCAGCCCCAAAACAAGCTGTATGTGCCAGGGAGCCACAAAGGCACTACTAGCAGATCAGCACCTGTGAATCCCAAGAGAGTTCGTTTCACTGCAAAGAGGAATTGCAGTGGTCGTCATCCAAGGCTTCAAAGGCGGCACATGGGGTGGCACACCACTGCCAAGGCCCAAGCATTAGTGAAGCAAAGAATCGTGTTTAGGAGAAGAGCAGCTGGGAGGGGGGGGGCGTTTCAACGTTACTTTCAACCATCAACAAAAGCCCGAAGCATCTTCTCTGGAGCAACAAATGGGCTCCAGGCTCCCCCAAACTTTGTTGAGCTTGAATCGATGTAAACCTGAAAGGGCAGAGGACAGGGAGACGTACACAATTATCTTAACAATCCTATACTTTACACAATATTGCCCGAGGCATTTCTTGTGCTCTTCTCATGGACATCTGGTCAGTAGAGCAAAACGTTTCTATCCAGTAATGCTTCCAGGTTCCTTTTAAAAATACACTTGCGCCGCTTGCAAAGTAACCAAGTCTTTCTTTAAAGTCCAGCTCTAGATATTCCAATGAGGAGTTTTCAAGATTTTGGCACTTGTGTGAGTTTCATGTTGTATGGCTTTGTTTTGCAAATTTCCATTTCAGGTAGCAAGAAGCAGGTCAGACAAAAGTCTGCCCTGCAGCTTTTTAGTTGGTTTTTATCTGCAAAACAAGATTTGGGTTCACCTATGTCTGTGCTATGTAATGCTTAATCAGAGTTTGTTGACTGAACTATCATTAGTAAGTTTGCAGAATATATCAACCTAAGTCGAAGCATATGGCTTGGTGTAACCAATGCAGCCTGACACTAGTAGGTCCCACTCAAGACCTGAAAGAGGTCAGATCCACACCTGAGCAATAGCTTACCTGACTTGACACCTGTTTCCCCAACTAATGAGCCCAGGAAGCTAGAACTGAATGCCTCTCTGCACCATTTCAAATTTCTTCCAGGCAACCTTTAACAAGGCACAAAGAACATTTCTAGCAGGTCTATGACTGCAGCTCGTGGAAAATTAAATGCACTTAAGTATATTGTATTTTATGGCAGTTTCTGGGCATTTAAAAATCTAATTTGAAACATCAATATAATACCAAAAACATCAATTTGGGAATATTTTTTTTCTGTTTATACTTGAATAGAGTCTGGGTGAGTTCACATATACAGCAAAACTATGTTTTGTTGAATAAGCCCCAATGGGTGGATTTGGATATCCTAAACCAGTGCTTCCCAAACTTTTATCTTCATTACCCAAAACATCTTTATCAGAAAGTCCTTATTTAAATGTCCCTGTTAGGTTCATGTGTTGTTATCCAAAGAAAACCACTTTTACCCAATTTGGGGTAATTTACCCAAGTTTGGGAAGCAACAATCAAATAAGGTCCACTATGATTTAGCATAATCAACAAACACAATCTTAGGGTGGGATTTTTAATTTCACAAGATTATCTGGCTTGCATAAGATCTTCTACAAGCATTCCCACTTTTATCTATAGGGCAAAGAGTTCAGTTGAAATTTTAAAAAATTAGACTGCTTCTGAGAATTTTGCTGAACTATATTTCATGGGCATTTTGGTGGTCTGATGTCCCAGGCTGAATGAAGCAAGGTTTGCAATCTATAGAAAATGTTCCCTCGTCACTGAACGTAGAAACCCAGAGACATTTTCTAAAGAAACTTCTCCTGTTTGTGAAAATGCTGATCGTGCCTCAGTTTTGCCCCATGCACGTGCTAGCAATGGAAAGATTTATGGACAGGGAAATGATTTATCCAGTAGACTCATCACAGAGCACTGAATACAAAAAGGAACTCTCAAGAAATAAAATCTGACTTGTGCAAAGTGACTAATATGCTGAATAAGAAAATATATATCTATGTATTTAAAACTATCTTTTAAAATTTTCTTCACTGTTCATTTGCAGATTCACATGGGCTATCCATAATTTGTCCGTCCAGCAATGAATAAGTTATCAAAAACAGAATATGTGTACGTGATTGATCCGGGAGAGCCACACCATCCAATTATAATTGGGTTGGATGACCAGATCCTTCAACGTAAAAAGGCCTCTCAAACTAGTATAAAATGTAGTGTTTCAAGGAGAAAACCTGAAAAGTGAATTCCCTGCACCCAAAAATTAAGTTTTCACCATAACGGACCTAGCTGCCTTAAAATTATCCAACAGGCTAGGATGCTCAGAATTCCCAGAGACAATATGAGCTCATGCCCAGCATATCTGGAGGAAACAAGGTCAGTGAAAACAGCAAGAGTTTTTCCCAGTAAGCTAGAACACACCTATGGCTACTTGATTAAAGCTGTACAGAACCCGGAGCAAAATATTTCATCCTGGGTGCCTAAAAAATCTACACTGACCACATTTTTTAAAAAGCCTCCAAAAATGTCTTTGGATTGATTGTTCTACCAGCCACCCCTGCTATATCTTTTTTTTTTTTTTTTTTACAAAAAGCATGCACACCACACACATACTGCAAGTTTTCTGTCCTTGAATTATTTAAAAGTATTTCTGAAATTCAAATATTCCATACTGTATATTGTCGTATGGTTAGGGTTAAAGTTACTCTGAATCTTTATAGACAACTCCGGCATTCCTCTGATACTGAAAGGTGAATTTAACCCTAAAAAAACCCCAATGGGGTTTCAGATGCTACTCCTATCTTACTCAGACTGAGAACAAGCCTTTTTAAGGTCCTCCTTTTCCAAGGAACCTCCATCATTTTACGTGATGAAGCAGCCATTTCTGTTTCTGAAGGCCGACAAGATTAATACTCAACTTTAAACAATCTGTCAAGACGTTAATCTGAAATTTAAATGGTATTTCTTATCAGCATTCCCAAACATTTGCCAGTGGACCAAGTTGAACAAATACACAATTCATTCAATACAGTTAAATTATTCTTTACCATGAGGTTTTTTCAAATTGTGTTCTTCGATATTATTTTAGCTTTTTAGGTTTTAGTTAAAATCTGCTTAATTCGGAGGAAAAATAATGGAGTCTCAGCTTCTGGGGACTGGTTGCTGAGGTTTTTTTTAAAGTCTTGAGACTCTAGAAACAGGTCCAAATTTCTGCATAATTCCAGATGGATTGGCTGATATGAATAACATTTACTTCTGAATCTGATCACAAAGACACCGCAGGCAGATTTCGCCCTCACAATCAAGAAGCATATTAACCAGATTTACTGGCCAATGTAGAACCCTTGCAAACATACACACACCCACACACAACTGCTTTGAAGAATAGTAAGCATGGCTCCAAATATGTTTACAGATGTTTGCTTAGTTACAAGAATCAAAATAGTAATAACTGTCAATTAAATCATCTTGGAGCTGTGCTGTGGTCAGGCTGTTCCGATTTTATGGATGGAAAAGATCCGATTTGGCAGATGAGTCAAATGACCAAGGAGATTCTATTGATAAGGAAGGCGCGTTAAGTTTCTCCTGGCTGACTTTGCTCCATAACAGCTCTGGGGTCTCTGTCTTCTTCCCTTCCAGCTGATGCTTTGACAGGCAGTTTTGGAAGTTTCTCCTTCTGGATGCGCAGAGTCCTTCAGAGGTTCTTGAGAAGACAGGATCATGAGCCCAGCAGGACAGCACGGAGGAAGTGGCAAGATCCAAGCAAGTCCCAAGGAGAAGCAATCTTAAAATATGGCCCGAAGGACGAGGGATGAGCTGGGGACACTTGCCTTTAACATTGGAGGTCTTAGCTCTGAGATCATCGCAGTGTCAGTTCAAGCAACCGTTTCCATGTACGAGATGAGGCAGCTCCTCCTTTGGGGCCAGACATCTTCAATTAATGGCAGCTTATCAATCGGGGCTGCAGATGAGGAGGACAATCCCCTCCTCCCCACGTTGGCAAAGGGCTGGCAGAGAAAAACATCCAGTCGCCCAGGGGGAGGCTCAAAAAGAAACGTTAGAAGATGTCTTGGTTTCTCTCCCCATGCCTGGTACTAAGTGGAAATTCTTGCATGAAGAGGTAGGAAGGAGGAAGGGCTAGGAGGAGACAGAACCATTTCCTTGCTCTCTAGCCTCCCAAGAATTGCTGCCAAGTGCCACCCTGTGTTATAAAGCCCATCAGCCACAGCCTGCCTGTCCTAAATTAGAAATCCAAGCTGCCAATGGAGCCAAGGCTCTCCTCCAGTGGCCCACGTGGGACCCGCCTGGGCATCACAAAGCTTGGAGTGGATCCTCTGAACACAAGAACACTTACGATGAAGTCTTTGCTCCTGTCCAGGAGGCCAAAACAAAACCTTTCACTGAACAGAAGAGAAGGACACAGCCGCTACCCTAAATGCTCATTTCCATTCTGTATTTTGTACATTGCCAGGCAGGAGGCTGACCTCTTTTGTCCCTACGCAAGATTTGACCCGATTCCACCTTCCGCATCCTTTAAGACACGCTGGAGCAGCGGATGCTCGGGGAGCCCATCTGCGTCAAGACCTTGTCCAGCCACTGCAAGGGGCCGTTCAGGTGGAGCTCGATCCAGCAGGGAGTGCTGGTGACCGTCTGGCGTCTGGAATGGAAACACAGAGAGGACGACTGTATCTCCATGAGAACATGAAGGGGAGGAGAGGAGCAGGGCAGAAACCCAGGATCGGTTCTCTTTCTCCTGATCAGCAGAAGCAGATCGATTTCAGCCGGTTGAGGCCGGGCAGGTCAAGAAGCAGGCCCAGCATGGTGCTCCTTATTGTGGTTAGACAACAGGATAGAACGGTGAAAGCCCATCCTAGTTTCCCTTGATCCCAGCTTATGCTGAACAAAATCAAGATGGGTTTTTGAGTCCATCTCTGATGCTTTCCTCTTTGGAAATGCTTTGGAAATGCTTCTGACCTCTGAATTCTCAGGATTTGGAGCCTTTTCTGCTAGGACCCCCTCAACACCTGGCTCATTTCTTCCCTGATCTCAAAATTAGCCCTGCCGGCCTTCCCAGCTCCTGGGAAGGAGGAGGGAGGTCTGTGCCAGATTCCAAGCACCTCTGCCGCCGGCTCCAAGGACCGCACATCTCTACAGGGTTGGCAGGGACCTTGGCGATCATCTAATCCAGTCTTCTGCCCACTGGGGAAGTCCCTGCTTGCTCCTGGGGCAACTGAGCCAAAGCAGGCTATCACAGAGCCCCTGCCACTTGCTCTGCTTCTGTTGATCAGGGAGAACAGGGCATCCTGCTCAGTGGAAGAGGGAGAGAGTCACGCGTGGGAAAAGATCAGACGGGGGACCCTTCTCTCCCCATCTCCCACTGCACTAAACATGGGAGTGCTTTGTGGGAATTAAAAGATGCGAGATTTGCGATAGATAAAAGCCAGGTCTTCTGGACACCCCGTACATTGGCTGTTCTCGGATGCTGTGATGGAAGCCGTGCAAATGGTCCAGGCCACTGTCCTGATGACCACTGACAACCCTCAGGAATCGCCCGCAGCATTCCTTGAATACCAGCAACAATAGAGGAGGAGGCCCATCGCCTTCCTGTTCTGCTTCCTGAAAAATCAGGCCGCTGGTAGGCGACTCGGACACCAGTGCCAGAGGGCGCCCAGCCTGGCCCAGCCAGCCCTGGGCTTTGCAACTGCCTGGGAGGAGCCCCTGGTGAGAGGGAGGGAGGCCGGCCGGCCGTGCTTAGCCAGGTATGTCCCCCCCCCGCTGGGCAAGAGGACCCAAGCATCCTGCTGTGAGACTCTGTGAGACCCGGAGCCCGAAGCCCCTCAGAAGGGAAATGGGGCGCTCCCAAACACTGAGCCTGCCCTTCTGCTGTCCCCACCCAGCATCCTTAACCAGAGGAGAGCAAAAGCTACTCTAATCCGAAAGCAGAGGCCGCTCTGCCCCAGACTGACCCCTTCAAAGACTCATGTAGCAGAAAGGGGAGGGGGGAGAAGCAGCTCTGGCTGGGCTGGAGACCAAGGGATACAAGGCCCTGCTAACCCCTACGTAACATGCAGCCAGGAGCCAGTTGCAATGCACAAGCACAGAACGTACTCCCGCCGGCTGTCTCTTCTCAAGGACCGAGGCCGGCCAGCCCCACCCAAGGCGGTGGCGGCAGTGGCAGCAGCGGCAGCAGCAGCAGCATGCACATCTGGAGCTCATTAGACACCCTGGCCGTCGGCCAAGGCCCAAAGCAGCCTGAGCAGGGAGCAAGCCAACTGCAAAACAAGATGGACTCCAGACATCTGGAGGAGCTGGGAGAGGTAACGTGAGAGGTCTGGGCGCCCACTCCTTCCCCGGCCCCCGTGGAAAGCCGCAGCTGCTGCCCTTTCCCAGGAGCTCATGAAAGCAGGGCCGGGATTCCCCCCCCCCCCGCAGAGGCGCTTTCTTTCTGAGTCTTTGCAGACGGCCCAGTCTTGGTTCTGTGCCTCCCCCCCTTGGTAGCAGCCCAGCCATTCCTCCATCCCCCACTTTCCCACCTGGGGTCTCCTCCCAACCCTGCAGAATTCCTTCCTGCCCGTCCGGTCCCTAAACGGCCATCTGGGGACTGCAGGCCTCTCCTCTGCCTCTTCGCCCAAGAGGAGCTGGGGGCTCAGGAAGCCTCCCCCTCCCCCACGTACAGGTAGTCCTCAACTTATGACCACAAGTGAGCCCACCTGTTGCTAAGTGAAATATTTGTTAAGTGAGTTTTGCTCCGTTTTACGACCCTTCCTGCCACACTTGTTAAGTGAATCACTGCATTTGTTAAGTTAGTAACGTGGTTAAGTGAATCTGGCTTCCCCATTGACTTTGCTGGTCAGAAGGTTGCAAAAGCGGATTGCGTGACCCGGGGGACACGGAACCGTCGTAAATGTGAATGAATGGCCGAGCCTCTGAATTTTGATCCGGTGACCCTGGGAGGCTGCAAAAATGGCCCAAAGTCACTTTTTTCAGTGCTGCTGTAACTTTGAGCAGTCGCCTAACGAACCGTCGTAACTCGAGGACTGCCCGTACCTCCGGGCCTCCCACAGCTGCTCCCCCCTTTCCCTCCCCTTTCCAGGGTGAAATGCTGACCTGTACTCGGCCCCCCAGCCCTTGACGAAGCTCATCCGGATGGTGCACATGCGTGTCAGCTGGTAGACGGCCTCGAAGCCCTGGTTGACCGACTGAGCCAGGAGGGCGGCAAATTCCTGGTTGTTAAATATCTTCAAGTTACACCCTGTGGAGGACAGAGAACGGACACAACAAGAGGACCAACATTAGCAGGGTTTCCCCAACGGCATCGCCTTGTGTGCCCTTGTGTCCTTCAGCAGCTCACCACAGACAAGACACAACACTCCCGGAGGCCTCCAAGGTTGGTGAAACAGACCCACAAAACTCTAGGACTGAAAAAAGAAAGAGGAAGGCCTCTTATTTTCTCCGGCTAAAAAGCAGGCAACCTTCTTTCAACAGTCATTTTCCTATTAAATAACCAACCAAGAGCTTCTCGTTTACAATGTGAGATTTGTGCAGCTCCAGGACACCTGTTAGCATTTGCTCTAGCAGCAGGAAAGGATACTGCACAGATAAATACCAGAGAGCTATGATGTCATAATATATTAATTTGGTAAGTTGCTGGGTTAATAAAACTGTTAAGAGGCCACCTTGGACATCAAACAGAAATATTAATCATTATGAATTTTAGCTGTTCACCAAGGTCAGAGGTTATCAGAAGATCACATAAACTTTTAAATCTTTTATTTTGTAAAAATAAATCAAATCTGTTTTGTGCTTATGTAAATATAAATGGAAAGCAAAAATCCATCACATCTGGTGAGTTTCACCTTAGAAATTGCTGGAATAAAGATTATTTTAAAAAAAAATGAAGTGGGAGGTTGATGAGGTAGGATTTACTTTTATGGAATCTATGCTGGCTGACTTTTGACAAAGGTTAGGGCATTCCTCACTGTGCCTAGTTCTTTTCTCTTAATTTGATTGCTCTCTGTAACCAATTTCCATGGAAGAGCTATTAAGCTGACCAACCTATAATTTTGTGATCTCACTACATCCTTTTTAAAAATTGGTGTTGCATTTTCTGATGCATCTGTGCAGTTTTTGCTGCAGGAGTGTAGAAGGTTCACCAAGATCAACATTGCAGACCGTTGTAAGTTGTAAGTTGAGGTCTCCCTGTACAAGTAATCCCGTAAATTAAAATAGATCTTTCTTTGGGGACCATCCTCCCCTTTGGGGACCCCTTCTTCCTGGACTGGGCTGAAATTAATAAGCAAGGGATGGTAAAAATCCCCCACTGAGCCCCAACAGCGAAGCAGTCAGTAGAAAATGTCTTCTTCCAATCTAGCTTCTTCCTTTGGCCCCCCCAACCATGGCCTCCATTCAATCTCCCTTCCATACCAGTTTTTTGCACATAAGGCCAGCTGCCTGCTAAAAGGCCTGTAAAAAATAATCAGGGCTCAAAACAGAGATAGCTCAAAACAGAGATAGTGCAGGGAGGCCCGAAAATGGAAGCCTTTCCTCCATCTGTCAAGGCCAGTCTTCAAGGCCAGTGTAATTCTGGCCTTACAGACTACAGAATAACAGAGTTGGAAGGGACCTTGGAGGACTTCCACCCCCTGCTCAAGCAGGAGACACTATACCACTCTTGACAGATGGTTGTCCAATCTCTTCTTAAAAGCCCCCAGTGATGGAGCACCCGCAACTTCAGAAGGCAATCTCTTCCATTGGTTGATTGCTCTCACCATTATGACATTTCTCCTTCCTTCTAGGTTGCTTCTCTCCTTGGTTAGTTTCCATCTGTTGCTTCTTGCCCTGCCCTCAGGTGCTTTGGAGAATAGCTTGACCCCCTCTTCTTTGTGGCAGCCCCTCAGATATAGGAAGACTGCTGTCATATCACCCCTGGTCCTTCTCTTCATTAAATTAGACATACCCAATTCCAGCAGCCGTTCTTTATATGTTTTAGCCTCCAATCCTCTGATCATCTTTGTTGCTCTTCTCTGTACTTTTTCTAGAGTCTGAACGTCTTTTTTACATCGTGGTGACCAAAACTGGATGCAGGATTCCAAGTGTGGCCTCACCAACGCGTTGTTAAGTGGTATTAACACTTCACGTGATCTTGATTCTATCCCTCTGTTGATGCAGCCTAGGCCTGCGTTGACTTTTTGGGCCTTGATTGCAGATCAGCAGGTCTTGCCTGCCACTTTCCAGAGTTGATTCTGAAAAGTAACAGGCAGGACCTGCTGATCTGCAATCAAGGCCAGAGTTACACTGGCATGGAAGAGCAACAAACACAACATTCCTGGGTTAACACACACGCATTCACAAACACACAGGCAGTCCTTTCTGAAATTAAACACCACAAAAAAATCTTTGTGATCACAGTTCATGAGGTCTGGAGCACAAGACTTTCCCCAAATCAGCATTTCTTTCCTAGCTTTTTAAATCCCAACAGACAACAAGCTTTCAAGCACATTTTCAGTCATAAGACCAAGTGTGTTAAAATATTCAAGGCAAGCTGTTTCTTTTTTCTAAATTGATAACTCATCAAGCTTTTCACAAATAAAATAAATAAAAAATAAAAACTAGTGAAAAGTCGAGTACAACACAACTGAGGAAGAAAAAAGGTTTCTACTGAACTAAAACTGTTCTATTTATTACTGTTGGGATCTGTAAAATGGTTGAATACAGGTAGACCTTGAGTTACAATGCCAGGTGACCACAGTGCTTGGCAACAGCAATCCAGGCAGTCCCAGTTGTCATGTGGGTCATTAAACGGAAGCAGAGAGAAATCTCTTCTTAATTTAAAATAGTCGCTGAATGAATGGTCATAACCTGAGGACTACCTGCTTTGCTTTCCTACTTTAATGCTCATCATCTAAAGTGTTTACGTCATCTGGAATAGAAATGGCTACTTATCTAATTCATCAGCACAGACAACTTCTGACCTTGGGGATTTAATCAAGAAATCTCAATTACTTAGTGGCTGAAACTATCTTCTTAAAGTGGAAAGAGATGGCCGGTTCAAACTGGGCTTCCTTTGTGGAAGTCATTCAGATTTGGATGTGTGTCATGAAGCCAATAGTAGCATTTGGCCTTTTTAGAGTTCTCTGCATGAGTCCAGCTAGCCAAATATTCTAAGGAACATTTTGAGCTATGTCAGAATACAGAGATTTATTGCAAGGAAAAAGAGAAGCAGTGTGTTATGTAGATGTGAGTGTGTGTGTACATGTGTTGACTGCAGTGCCAATACATCTGAAGGATACCAATTGGATACGGTCTAATCCAGGGTGGACAACTATGGCAAATTTATGAGCTGAAGACTTCAATTCCCAGAATTCCTATCTTCTCTGAATTGAAGTCCACAAGTTTAAAGAAGAGCAACTAAGATGATCAGGGGTCTGGAGACTAAAACATACGAAGAACGGCTACGGGATTTGGGTCTGGCTAGTCTAAGGAAAAGGAGAAATAGGGGAGACACGATAGCGGTGTTCCAGTATCTGAGGGGCTGCCACAAGGCAGAGGGGGCCAGGTTGTTCACCAAAGCACCAGAGGGAAGGACGAGAAACAACGGTTGGAAACTGACCAAAGAGAGAAGCAACCTGGAATTAAGCAGAAACTTCCTGACAGTGAGGACAATCAACCAGTGGAACAGCTTGCCTCCAGAAATCGTGGGCGCTCCATCACTGGAGGTTTTTAAGAAGAGACTAGAGACAATCACCTGTCTGAGATGATATAGGTTCTCCTGCTTGAGCAGGGGGCTGGACTCGAAGACCTCCAAGGTCCCTCCCAGCTCTATTCTATTCTGTTCTGTTCTGTTCTATTCTATTTTCTATTCTATTTTCTATTCTATCCCTATCCCTATCCCTATTCTAAAGTTGTAAAGTTACCAGAGGTGCCCAACTCTGACCTAATCTTAGGTCTGCCCCTTATTCAGAGATTCTTGGGACATAATTCTCCTTGCAACTCCAGTGCATGCAAAAAACCTTCTAATTCTCCATCACACCTACCAACAGAGCTATCAACTAGTTTAGACTGATCCAAAAAGGAGATGAATGCAAATTGTTTTGCAAAATTGGATAAGGTCTTCCAGAAAATCCAAGTTCTTGAAAAGCTGAATCTTGAATCTTGCATTCAACATGCCAGTACGGACTTTTAAGAACAACAACACTGCCTCAAATCTCATTATTTGTGTTTCACTCTTCCTAGAAGAGGCAGCAAATTTGGGGGAGGGAGAGAGAGAGAGGGAGAATCTCCCATGGAAATCCTGCTGGGGTTCTCAACTGCAGAGATTCACTGCCACAGAGTCCTCTGGGCCAACTCACTGGACAGAAGTGGCAGAGAAAGACATAAAACACAAAGGGAAACAGAGTCAAAATAAATTACCTGGTGGTATCTTGCACACGGTAGCTGGGTGCCAGCCATAGCGCTGGTTGCAGTTGGGGGACTGGACAAATATGGCACTGTCACTAAGGCACTCGGCAAAAACTTCCCCTCCAATGTAATACAGCCTCACTCCTCTCCCTAGAAGATGGGTTCAGCATCAGGACAGCAAAGAAGACAAAATTCAATCTCTCTTTGAAAGCCCAGGACTCCTTTGGGTCTCCCCTCCCTCCCTCCCTGGCCGCAAGAGGCAGGGAAAATCTTTGCCTCCTTCTTCCAAAAAGCAACTTATGTGGTGCTCTGTAACATATTTTGATGGCTAAATGTCTATGGAGATTCTCAGTCGTCCAGGTCATGGTTGTCCCAAAGGTGTTTTTTCCAAAAGGCAGCTGGACCTTCTTGGTTTTTCCTTGAAAACATCCAGAAGAAGTTTCTTGGATGAGAGGTGAAACATTTTCAAGGAAAAACCAAGAACATCCAGTTGTCTTTTGGAAAAGCACCTTTGGAATATCTTGATGGGCCTGCAGTGAGAAGGCTGGGCTGAATTACCCGTCCTTGGTTGCCAAGTAAGTTTCACAGGAGGAGAAATTGAAATCTGGACAGAATTTGACCCATTATGTATCCCAGGGATGAGCAGTTTGATGCTTCTCAGGAATTTGGGGCTTCAGTTCTCACCAATGTGGCTAAAGGCTGATGGGAAATGTAGTCTTGAAACATTTGGAATCTGCCTTCCCTCTGCTGTAGCCACTACCACACGTCTTAGGCCATAAATTGTTTTCTAATAAGTCAGCCCTCTTTTCTATAGTCTCCAGGAAGAGGCACTGATGGAAATTCCATTATTTAAAAGGTCCAAAACTGAGGAAATCGCTACAGCTGGAACAAAGTTTGTTTGGGGTTTTTTGGATTCTCCAAAGCATGGCAACTAGCTCTATTTAATTCCCTCTGTTCATTGACTCCAAGAAATCGCTGCCTGCTGGGGGAAAAAAACTTATGATTTGTTAACATAACTCAAAAAGACACAACTTTTTCAAAATTGGATAGATTTGATAGATGAGTTTGTAAAGTTGTTGCTCTCATCCTGTGGAAGAGAGTCCAGCTTTCCATTTTTGTTGGTGAGAGAGCCAGCTGTAATAAACAGAGTTAAAGAGTGTGCCTGTGTGAAGATCACAGTAAAGTTGATGCCTTCCAAACATTAAGTTTATTATATAAACAAGAAAGATAATAAAACCAGACGGCCTTGTGTAATTAAATACGCAGCATCACTGAGTCAGGGGTGGGGAACTATGGCCCTCTATGACCTTGGACTTCAACTCCCAGCATGGCTCATGAAGTCCACAGGCCCTAAAAGGGCCATAGTTCCCCACCCCTGACTTCAGGCAAGCAAAGAAGCTGTGCGTGTCCTAAAGGCTAAACTCTCCTGGCCAGGTTCAGTGTTTACGCAGGGCCTGAGTCCCTTTCCAGCCCCCTCTGCCAAAGACACGGCAACGGAGACTACCGATGTGCCGCCGGGTGAGCTCCACTGCTGCGTTGCGGTTGACATTGGAAAGCAGGCCGAGGCAGAAGCGCTCCGAATTTGAGGGGTCCGTGAAACCATCCACGGTCATTGAGGGCTGAGAAGCGTGGAATGTCTCTCCCACTCGCTGGTTGAGCTCATAATAGGAAATGGAGCACCAGAAGGCTGGTTCACAATAGGTGACTGGCTGGAGATCTGCAAGAAAAAGGTGGAGAGGATAAAAGTTTGCTTCTTCTCACATGTACAGTTTTGCCAGCCGCTTAAAAATGCATACAGGTAGTCCTCGGTTTATAAGTAAAATGTGTAGAGGTAGTCAGAATAACAGAATAGCAGAGTCAGAAGGATCCTTGGAGGTCTTCTAGTCTGATCCCTTGCTCAGGCAGAAAGCCCTATAGCATTTCAGACAAATGGCTGTCCAGTCTCTTCCAGTGATGGAGCGTGGTCAACTTCTGAAGGCCAGCCATTCCACTGCTTTATTTCTTAGTTCTAGGTTGCTTCTCTCCTTGATGAGTTTCCATCCATTGTTTCTTGTCCTGCCTTCAGGTGCTTTGGAGAGAATAGTTTGACTTCCTCTTCTTTGTGGCAGCCCCTGAGTTATTGGAACACTGCTATCATGTTCCCCCTCATCCTTCTCTTCGTTAAACTAGACATACCCAATTCCAGCAACCGTTTGTTATATGTTTTAGCCTCATCATCATCTTAAAACCTTCTGGTCATCTAGTCCAACCCCCTGCTCAAGCAGGAAACCTTATATCATTTATGACAAATGGCTGTCCAGTCTCCTCTTAAAAACTTCCAGTATTGGGGCATTCCCCGCTCCTGGAGACAGGTTGTTCCACTGGTTAATTGTTCTAACTGTCAGGAAGTTTCTTAATTCCAGGTTGCTTCTCTCGTTGATCAGTTTCTTGCCCTGCCTTCAGGTGCTTTGGAGAATAGCTTGACTCCCTCTTCTTTCTGGCAGCCCCTGAGATATTGGTAACGAATTCCTTAGTTTAACTCTGCATTGCATGAAGAATGTCAATGCATCTGTTTTGAATCCACCACTCCTAAAATTTCACTGAGTGACCCAACATAGGATTGAAACATTGAAAATGACAACAACTTCCAGATTTGTCAATAAATGCAACCAAATGGTGGAGGAGGCACTTGGACTGCAGTCCGAGAGAGGTCGAGTGGGCAGCACCTCCAAGCCAAGCCGAGTTGAGCGAAAAGTTACGTGTGTCGGTGAGCCTCTTGATGTTGACAAGAATGAGCTAAACGCCACAAGACATTTGTTACTTACCGTAAATCATATTCATGCAAGATTCAAGAGCTGGCTAGTGGCCGCACATCTGTTTTCTCAATCAGGAACCAAAGTAGTTTTGGAGAGAGCAGGAAATGCTCTCAGAGAGTATTGCTTCCTTAGGATATGTGCGTACACTCATCTTGCCCCAGAGAGAAACAGGTGGCAGAACTTCAAGACAAAATACAACCTGACAAATCTATTAACTGGGAGTGAAAGGGGAATCAGAATGCTAAATTTTGAGTATTTTCTTCACAATAGTTCCTAATTAAAGCCATCCTCCACGCCCTCTTTCTCTCGGCCTTCACCTCCTAGGCAAAAATCAAAGGCTCCACATCGTGGGACGCTTACCCAGATTGCTGTGTGCAGGAGACATTGGATTTGGAGATAAATCTGGAGAACCTGAAGGGGCAAAAGGAAATTCAATTAGTAATTGTGAGACAAAATGTAATTTGGATCACGCAATGCACTAATCCAAAGTTTGCATAATTGTGATCTGTTGAATAAACCACAGGAATTGTCATCACATGCTAAGCCAAAGCGTTTTGGAACGATGTACAAATTGGCTTTGTTTGATGTGCGGGTCTTACTAACTTCAAGGAAATTCTCTGTTTCAGTTCTAGAATTCAAAAAAGTGATCTGAAATGCTGTTGCTTCCTTTGGTGTGTCCAGATTGCTCTAGACTGCAGCACCTCCTCTAATTTAACCTCCTCTAATTTAGCCTTGCGACAGGAAGAAAACAACTTTAATGAGGTTCATTTTGCCATTTGCCAAACAAATTCAAGAAATATCTGCCTCACTCTATTTATGGCCTTCTCCACTTTTTATCTGGAGAACTGCAGATGGCAAAGATGGAACTAAACTGGGAGACAAGCAGAATTGGGTTTTATACTCTCATTCAGTCATTTCTGATTATAAAAGTTATTTTAGGTAGATTTGTCATGTTTCGTGGCTTATATCAACAGCACCATGCCATTCTCCCCAGCTGTCAGCTGCGGCTCTCTCAGGCTAATATTCTTCTTGAGAAAGGGCCATCCAAGAGTTGTCTGCTGCCTAAGTGAGGAAGCTGGTCAAGCCCTGTTCCATGTACGTCTCCTCCTCACTTGGCTGGCATTGAACCGGGGACTATCGCTTTCCTTGTCAGCCGCAGCAGCAGCAGCAGCAGCAGGAAAAAATGATTCCTGGGCAGAGAAGGAGAGAATGATCCAGACCGAGGGGGGGGGGGAGGTGGTGGGAGGAGGCAAGATCACAGAGACCAGGAAGAGGGAGGAGAAAGGGATCCTCTCAGGATGGGATGAGTTTTCAAGATCTGGCAAGAGAGGAGTTGCAAGAGCAGATAGTAATTCCTTTAACCCACAAAATCATTCCAGTTGTGATTTACCTGCATCTAAACTGTGATTCATTTGATGGTCACTGGTTTCTCCATCCTCGCTCAGATACCCGGGAGGGGGTGTCTCTGAAGAGGGGGGAAGAAAATTAAAATAGAGTGTCATGGTTCCGATAGATGAAACCGTTTAAAAGAACTTCAAGGCAAACATTTCTTCCTTAAAGAAATATTTTATTTAGGAAACAAAATATCGGCACGTACATAGGTGAACCCAAGACTAAAAATCCTCTCCCCCTGGTTACAAAGTTTCAATTGCAATTCCTACCCCAAATTGCTGTCATAAATCACATTCACCAATTGTTGCAAAACCCAGGCTCTCTTCCCCACTCTCCAGTCGCCAAAATGTTATTAGCACTGACTTTGGTTCTCACACATATGAATTGTTTTGGCTAACTGAGTATTACACATCCACCCCTCCTCCATCTAAAATCTCTAAACTAAAATGTGGCAATGAAGACAAAATGAAAATGGCTTCAGTTCGGTTTGTCACAGCGTTGACACAGAGCTTTATAAAAATGCACCCTTCTCAACAGCAGTGAACTGTTTGACAGACTTCCAGTCTGTTCTTCTATTCAGTTGAGGTCCCAAGATAGGCCAATCAAAATCCAAATGCCAAGCTGAAAGCACGACTCAAAACTAATAAAAACGTTAACAAATCATTAAAAGCCTGGCAAGGGAGATGCCTCTTGGCTGCTTTTCTAAGAGGAGAAGAGAGAAAAAGTCAGGAGAGCTCCGGGAGGGATCTGCAGCCTGGGACCAAGCAGGAGAAGGCCTCCTCCTCCGAGGGGAGACTCGTCCTTGCCTGCAAAATGGAACAGCTAGGGAGACCCAGAAGATGAACACAAAAGAGTAAACAACTCTGGTCAAGGTTTGGTCTTTGCAGAACTTTTAAAAAAGGGAAGGAGTAGGGCTTTAGGGTCAGGGCTGGAAAGAAATTGAATTGGGGGTGTTGATAACCAGACAGCGGCCCTGGAGCAGGAAGTCCATCCAAAGGGAGGAAGATCTCTCTCTCTCTCTCAATATTTTTCAAAAGGACCCTCCTCTCACACCCTTAATCGGCAGGGTAACATAGCAAGGGGGGGGGGAAGAGAGGGAGAGAGAGAGAGACAGAAAGACAGGCCGTTTTTCTTCTCTGCCTGCTGCCTGTGATGAGACCTGAATCCCTCGGTGCCAAAGTGGAGGTAGGGTTCCTGGGACTGGAAAGGAAGCCGCTTCCCATCCTCTCTTCTTCCTAGGGATGTCATACCTGGAATGTAGTTGCTCTGAGGTTCGATGCCAGCTGGGAAATTTGTGTTCTCAGGAATGGAATGGCTGTAATCGTCAAGTGGAGGGAATTCGGCTGGAATTTCCGCATGCCGTGGGACCAAAACTGGAGGTAATACTGAGGACAAAAGCAGCCAGTCACAAATGCAGCCAACTTTAAGGCTTCCAGGTTTCTGACAATGAGACCCCTATGTGCTCATCTCTTCCCTAGGAGCTCCTGGGTTGGCCCTACCTGGTGTTTCCACTCTTTGGTAGTGATATGGATTCACACAGACTTCATCCTTCTTCATGTTGAATGCGTATTCACACATTTCCATGGCGCGCAGCTCATGGTGGCTATGAAGGTCTGGCCACCGCCACAGCCGGCAATAGATGACGTGTGGGAGACCCTTTCGATGGGAGACCTGCAGCCGGCCATCCAGCGACCTGAATTTGGAGAGAAAAAACACTGATGGAGACAAGGCTTGGCTGGAAGGTCTTCGTTTGCCATTAAAAATTGTGGTAAACCATAAGAAGAAACAGTACGGTCTTAGGATCGATACCAAGCCTATAGCAAAGTTACCTGAGGTTTATTGGAGGGTGGGGGTTTCCACCCCACCCCAAAGCTACGGGGCCTTTTTATACTTTTTGATTTGTAAATTTATCAAGCAAGATGAAAACAATTCAACCGGAAAATGCAAACAGACCAAAACGACATATAATAGTGATAAAAGTAAAATAAAGCTTAACAAAAAAAAATCATACAGTATTAATATACAACTACCTTAGACCTTTAATAAGTTATTAAATCTGGGCTTTTTATAATATAAAGACAATTTTAAAAAATCAGCAAAGAATATGTCTCGAATCCCCTTGTTGACACTGCAGTTTTGATTTCTTTATACCTGCACAGGATGAATCTCTAAGCTGACCTAAAAAAGCCAAACTTCTTCATAAATTACCAAAACATGTATTTTTGGACTTTTATCACCATCATGTTTACACTATTAACAGCTGTGTTTTTTCCACCAGATTTGTGTTAACAAATCTCCCTAACTTCATGCACTTGTACTCATTCATATATTTTGTGACACAACTCCAATGCAGCGTGTTGTACACAAAAGTCTGAAAAGTTGCTAGCCTGGACACTTCTGTGGAGGACAAGATGCCCAAACAGGGCTGAGCAGGAAGGACCTTCTTGGTTGGCATCAGAATTGCCAATGCCAAGTGCACGCATGGCCTGAAAACGCCCACCATGGACCTGGAAGCCAATACCAACAACAACATAACCCAACAGCCCCTCCCCCTACTTCACCATTTCCTTACTGCCACATACGGAGTCTCTCTGGCTCACCGACTCTGCATTTGGGTGGAAGGGATGCCAACTGGCATAGCTTCCCTGCCGGTGGTTGACTGGCAACTCCTGTTTCCCTGCTCAGAAAAGGATACAGGAGACCATGGTGGTCCAGTGTTAGCAATGCTGCTTCCTGTGGCAAAAGGGGATGTTCCTCCCAGAAACTAAAAGCAAACCACACAAATATCCCAACATCTCCTCTTCTTGTGTTGTGTCTAGGGAAGGAGAGATCTGGAAAAACAAGGCCTCCCTGCCATGCAAGATGGAGCTCGTGTGGTTATAGTGGACTGTTCTTCAAGAGGCATGGGCTGAATGGTAGGTAGGTACAGTAGGTAGTTGGGGGGGGGAAGAGAGAGGGGGAGAGAGACAGAGAGAGACAGATGACAGACAGAGGGAGAGGGTTCCTTGGGGGCAAACTGGGAAGTAACAAGGGTCTACCAGTTTCCAGAGACAGAAGTCCAAGCCAACCAGGCAGTGTCCCTAATATAAGCCTTGGTCTCGGGCTATTTTATGAAATAGCTTCCTTAGCAACTGGATGCCACCTTCTTGATCCAAGAGATATCCTGCTTCTGCAGGGGGTTGGACTAGAAGATCTCCAAAGTCCCTTCTGACTCTGTTATTCTGTTACTCATGTACTGCAACACCAAACAGGGGCCGAGGTCCTACAATGAAAGAATGGATGGCAAAAGTGATGGGGTTGGCAGAGATGGCAAAACCATTTTAATTAAAAGAGAAGAACCCATCTAGTTTTGTTTCCATTTGGAAACCACTTCTGAACTTTTTGTTTGAAATTGAAAAAATGAAACTTTGATTTTAGGTTTTGACGATTAGAATGACTATGTTGTTATAGAAATGGCTTGAAATAGTAGAAATGCGAATCAAAAAGTTGAGGTTGTGATTCTTTCTTTGTATTTTACTTCACCGAAAAAAGGTGGATGTTTCTTTCTCTTCTTTCTCTCTCTTTTGTTTTCTTCTCTTTGCATCCTTCCTTCTTCTTTCTCTCAGCTTTCCAACTTGTGTCTTTTTTATTTTTATCTTATAATAAACTTTAATAAAACACCAAACAGAAGCATGGGTGAGCAGAGTTTCACTAGTATTTCAAGGCAGCCTTAAAATTAGGGCAAGGTCCACAACTTTCCCCCCAATTTTTCTCCCTAGAGACTTTCTACTTGCCTCTTTTGTTTTCAAAAATATGGAAAAGCAGTAAGGGAGGAGGAAAGCAAGACTAAACTCCCCAGTAAGACAGCAAAATACAGTCTTCTCCATTTCCTCCATAAAAGCACTTTATTAGAGCACTAAGCCAGTTCCGTTTGCATTTCTCCAGCCTCCAGTTTTCACTAATAAGGGAGTGTGGGATGAATAATTTCCTGCCCAGTGACCACATGCCTCATCATACGCTTTCTGCAGATGCACCTGATGACCCAAAAAACTCCCTCCCCATCAGCCAAGCAGCAATCTGGAGTTTCCAGAAGGAAAAGATGGAGAAGTTTTGCCTCTGGAAATCAGGCATTTTGAGGGGGGAGCGAAAATAAAGGTGAAAAGGACACCGGAAAAGAGAAGTGGGTGAGTTTTATAGCTCCAGCTTCCTTAATTATGACTCAGCACCCAGCAAGAGATAAAAAGCCCAGCTCCAAAGAGAGAGAACATCTTGAGGGTAAAGATCTGAGCGAGGCCCTTCCGTGCAACAGCCACTCTCTCTGGCACAAGGCAGAGAAACGGAGGATTTGCACTCTCCTCCCAGAACACCCGTTTTTTTCCAGGACAGTAGTAAAATTTCTAAAAACATTATTATTTTCAGCACTGAAAATTGGTGGCAACAGATAGGCTGACTCTGTAAACCGCTTAGAGAGGGCTGTAAAGCACTGTGAAGTGGTACAGGAGCCTAAGGCTGTTGCTGTTGCTCTGATCCGGGCGACCGACCTAGATTGGATCCTGCAAAGGAAGAGAGACCCAGAAACTGTTCGCGCCTCTTTTGTAAATTGCATTTTCATTAACAAGCCTGATCCTCCCCGTATCATACTCTAGCTTGACTATTGGGACAAACAGAGCAGAATCGTAGATCACGTGTGTAACCAGGAACAGGCTGGAAGATCTCGGGAGAGCATGTTTCTACTTGTGGCTCACTCTGTCTCCCACACACACAGAGGCATCTTTTATGGAGATCAAGATCTTCCCCAAAATAATTGGGAACTGATGTTTCCACTATATCAGTCGAATGCAGACCATTTGGCCAAATACAGTAGCAGAATAACAAAGTTGGAAGGGACCTTTGAGATCTTCTAGTCCAACCCCCTGCTCAAGCAGGAAACCCTATATCATTTCAGACAGATGGCTGTCCAATCTCTTCTTAAAAACTTCCAGTTTGGGGGCACCCACAACTTCTGAAGGTAGGCCATTCCATTGGTTAATTGTTGTCACTGTCAGGAAATTACTTCTTAGTTCTGGGATGCTTCTCTCCTTGTTTAGTTTCCATCCATTGCTTCTTTTTCTACCTTCGGGTCCTCTGGAGAATAGGTTGACCCCCCCCTCTTCTTTGTGGCAGCCCCTCAGATAGTGGAACCTTGCTATGATGTCACCCCTGATCCTCCTTTTCACTAGATTAGTCATACCCAATTCCTGCAACCGTTCTTCATATGTTTTAGCCTTCAGTTCATGCACAACTAGTGCATCTAGACCTAAACAGGATGCCATAGGTTCTTTGTGATTAAAAGCGGTAAAAAGCAAGCTGAGTCCTACACAAATTTAAGAGGACATATAAAAAGTTAGAAGTGAAATCTACGGACACCAAGTTCATTTGGCCTTTATACCCAAGGCACAAGAGAATGTAAAACATTTTAAACATCTAACACTCTTGCTATTTATTCACTCATTAAAACAATGCTCCATCCTGTGATTCACAATTTACGCAAACTAAGTTCCAGCATGATGGGAAGAAGTGAATGTCACTCCATGGCCAAATTGTTTTAAACTTTCGTTCTTCTCAGAGAACACCCAAAATACTTCAAACGGGCTCCATCTGGTCCAGAGAATCTCCTGCTGGCTATTAGCACCCTCCCTTCTTTCAAGGTCAAAATTCCAGCAACAACACAACCATGTATTTACTCCACACATAAATGGAATACAATGGAGGAAAGGAAAAATGAAGCCATAACTTGGAGTTAACAGAATTTCTTTTTGTCATAAATATACATACAAGTAGCCCTCAACATACAACCATTTGTTTAAACACTATTTGAAGTTATGGTGCTGGAAAAAAAAAGTGTTTTACAACCGGTCTTTGCTCTTATGACCGCTGCAGTGTCCTGAGGGGGTTCCAAAGCAAAGTCGGGGGGGGGGAATCCAGATAACAGAACAACAGAGTTGGAATGGGCATTGGAGGTCTTCTAGTGCAACCCCCTGCTCAAGCAGGAGATCCTACGCCATCCTGGACAGTCTTTTCTTAAAAGTCTCCAGTGATGGAGCGCCCACGATTTCCGGTGGCAAAGCCGTTCCACTGGTTGATTGTTCTCACTGTCAGGGAATTTCTCCTTAGTTCTAAGGCTGCATCTCTCCTCCATCAGTTTCCCTCCGTTGCTTCCTTGTCCTGCCCTCTGGTGCTTTGGAGAGCAGGTGGACCCCCTCTTGTCTGTGGCAGCCGCTCAGATATTGGAACAGTGCTTTCACGTCACTCCTAGTCCTACTTTTCACTGGACTAGACATACCCAATTCCTGCAATTGTTCCTTGTATATTTTAGCCTCCAGCCCTTAATCATCTTTGTTGCTCTTTCTAGAATTCTCAACATCTTTTTTATATTTTTATATTATACTGACCAAAATTGAATGCAGTATCTTAAGTACTGTATATTAAGATTAATTTATTAAACTTAATATAATATATTTATAATATAAAATGACTTAGATGAGGGAATTGAAGGGGAACTCATCAAATTTGCAGATGATTCTAAACTGGCAAGATTATCCAACACCCCAGAAGACAAACTCAAGATCCAAAAAGATATTAACAAACTTGAACAATGCGCCCTATCCAACAAAATGAGTTTCAGTGTGGAGAAAAGCAAAGTTTTACATTTAGGCAGGAAAAATCAAAGGTGCAGATTAGGCGAGACCTGGCTCAAAAACAGCAACTGTGAGAGGGACCTTGGAGTCCTAGTGGACGATCACTTGACAACGAGCCAGCAGTGTGCAGCAGCAGCCAAAAAAGCTAATACAATCCTGTGTTGTATAAACACAGGCATAGAAACAAGATCACACGAGGTATTAGTACCACTTTATAAAACCCTAGTAAGACCACACCTGCAATACTGCAGCCGATTTTGGTCACCATATCACAAAAAAGATGTTGAGAGTTTGGAAAAAAATCAGAGAAGAGCAACTAAGATGATCAAAGGCCTGGAGACTAAAACATACGAAGAACAGCTGCAGGACTTGGGTCTGACTAGTCTAAAGAAAAGAAGAAATAGGGGAGACATGATAGCAGTGTTCCAGTATTTGAGGGGCTGCCACAAAGAAGAGGGAGTCACGTTATTTCTAAAACACCAGAAAACTGGAGAAACAATGGTTGGAAACTGATCAAAGAGAGAAGCAACCTGGAATTAAGCAGAAACTTCCTGACAGTGAGGACAATTAACCAGTGGAACAGCTTGCCTCCAGAAGTTGTGGGCGCTCCATCCCTGGAGGTTTTTAAGAAGAGACTGGACAGTCACTTGTCTGAGATGGTATAGGATCTCCTGCTTGAGCAGGAGGCTGGACTAGAAGAACTCCAAGGTCCCTTCCAGCTCTATTCTATTCTTATTATTCTTATATATGTGTTTGTGTGTTTTTGTGTGCATGTGTGTGTGTTAATATTAATATATTAAATATATTAAGATTTGCTTAATGACTGTGTGATTAGCTGAACAACATAGCAAAAAAGATTATAAAATCCAGCAGGACTAACTTAATGACTGCATCATTTAGCAATGGAAGTTCTGATCCCAACTGCTTACAAGCCGAGGACTACATATACCTATATAGAAAAAAACTATCAGTATTTATTTGATTATAATGTACTTCCTTAGTGCATTGTATAATAAAAATCATTTTTTTCCAACCACTGTTCTTAGGTAAGCATGATGAAAAGGCAACTACAGTTTCTAAATCAAGAAGATGGTGCTTAAAAAAAGCAAGAACCAAACAGGTCTGTGTAGTTAAATCTCTTTCCCCATCATTGATGTTCTTGGTTACACAGAAAACCCACTTCTCACTTCCTCTGAAACCGCCAACTATTCCCCCTGCTCCATTTCACTGAATCTACTTGCATCTCACAATGAGTTTTGAGAAGATGCAAGTGACCACCAACTTCTTGAGTTGGCACTCCTGGTATGTAAAAATAATTCGAATTAAGCACCAGAAGGCAAGAGAAGAAGCAATGGATGGAAACTAATCAAGGAGAGATCCAGCCTAGAACTAAGGAGAAAAATCAACCAGTGAACGGCTTTTGCCTCCAGACGTTGTAGGTGCTCCATCACTGAAGTCTTTTAAGAAGAGACTGGACAGCCACTTTTCTCATATGGTATAGGGTTCCCTGCTTGAGCAGGGGGTTGGACTAGAAGACCTCCAAGGTCCCTTCCAACTCTGATATCCTGTTTTTTTTCTAGTAACTGTCCTCTAACAAAAATGGCTTTGCTTTCCATCTGCTCCATAAAATCACAGATTGGAAGGAGTCAATTGTATGTTGGAGATCTTCTTGTCTGCCCACAACAAAAATCCTCAGGCTATTCTAGACCGGTGGCTTCCCAGTCTTGGTTGGTTTGAAAGCCTCCACTGACAGAGCCACCGTGTCTCCTCCAGGAGGCTGGCTAGTCCAGTGCATAAGAGATCCGATGCTCAGAACATTTCTCATTTCTAGGCTGGATCTCTCTCTGCAAAGCTTTCGCTTGTGGGTCCTTGTCTCACTCCTGGGCACTATCCCTTCAAGCATTTGCCATCATGTCTCCCCTTTGCCTTCTTTTTTTAAAAACTAAACATTCCAGGACAGGGAGGGAGGAAGCTAACCGCCAGATTGCAAGAACACAAGCGGCCAGTCAGAGGAGGAGACCCAAACTCATTGGTAGCTTCACACTGCAATGAACAAGGACACACATTCAATTTTGAAGCTACTAAGATTGTTGGACAAGCAGGCACAAAAACAGCCAGGGATGTGATGGGAGCCTGGGAAACTTTGAAGTTGCTCAGAACAGAGTTTTCAAAAACCTGACTGACTGGATGCATGTGTGGGAGTTCTCCTCTCCTCTTTCTGCCTCCAAGACAGCAGAAAAGAAAGCAAAGGTTAGCTTGGAATATCCTTTTAAACCTTTGTCAGCAGCAGGCACCCCTGCTTGATAGCAAGCTTTTAGTTGCCCTCTAGGAAGAAGGTGTGGGTTCGATTCCCATTGCCCAGAAGACTAGAACTTAGGCAGGAAAAGACTAGCACTTAGGCAGGAAAAACAAAACACACAGGGATAGAATAGGTAGTACCAGGCTCAAGAGCAGCAACTGTGAGAGGGATCTTGGAGCCCGAGGGCACCACCACTCACGTATGAGCCAGCCATGCGCAGCAGCAGCCAAAGAGGCTAATGCAGTCCTAGGCTGTGTCACGATCACGGGACGTGACAGTATCACTCTATACAGACCGTCCTCGACTTACAACAGTTTATTTAGTGACCGTTCAAAGTTACAATGGCACTGAAAAGAGTGACTGATGAGCATTTTTCACACTTATGGCCACTGCAGTATCCCCAGGGTCATGTGATCAAAATTCAGATACTTGGCAACTGGTTCATATTTATGACAGTCACAGGTGTCCCGGGGTCATGTGATTGCTTTTTGTAACCTTCTGACAAGCAAAATCAATGGGGAAGCCAGATTCACTTAACAACCATGTTGCTAAGTTAGCAAGTGTTAAGCGGTTCACTTACTGTAACTGTGGCAAGAAATTTCGTAAAATGGGGCAAAACTCACTTAACAAGTGTCTTGTTAGCAACAGAAATTTTGGGCTCAATTGTGATCATAAGTCAAGGACTACCTGTACTGTACTAGTGAGGCCACACCTGGAATACTACGTACCCTTCTAATACTGTGCAGTATTCCATGGAACCATGATACAAGAAGGAAATGCTAAAAGCCTAGAAAGGGTGCCGAGAGGAGCAGCAAAGATAATAAAGGGTCTGAATCATACGATGAACAATTGAGGGAACGAGATAGGCCTAACCTACCTAATCTGTTGGAATTGTGGATGCTCCATCACTGGAGGTCTTCAAAAATAGACTGGATGACCATTTGATTGGGATGGTGTAAAGACATCAAAGGGAACTTCCTGACTATACAAGTTGCCAGCAAATTGCTGCCCCTTTGCTGGAAGTTTTCAAACAGACACTGGACGGCCTTTTGTCCTAAACGCTTGAGTAGATTTGCACTGAGCAACGGTTGGACTCAGTGACCTTCAAGATTCCTTTCAACTTTATGATTCTATGGTTCACAAATGGAGCAGCTAAAGTCACATTATTTGCTAAAAACAAACTAGATAATCAGAATCCATGGGTGGATCGTGACCCTTGGTGGGGAAATGGCGTTTCCTGTATCTCTGTCTCTCACATGGTGTGTCCTATTAAATTGTGGATTCCCTCTCCCCAACTCTCTGCCACCCAGAGCCCAGGAATGCCAGCCAGTACAACCAGAGGTGACGGCATCCTAGCCCATTTGGAGGACACCACCTTAATAAAGTTTGTTATGCCATTACTCATTAGCAGTAGATGTTCTTGCTAGTCGAGGACTCGAGAGAGGTTGCCCAATGCTCAGAGGGGGAGAGAAGGACATTGTTGGCCTTGACTCCTTTTTTGTGTCTCCCTCCCCTTCCTCCAACTAAAAAAGACAGCCTAAGCCAGGGATGGGCAACTATGGCTCCTTCACGACCTGTGGACTTCAGCTCCCAGCTATGCTGGCTCAGGAATCCTGGGAGCTGAAGTCCACAGGTCGTAAAGGAGCCATAGTTGCCTACTCTTGGCCTAGAAAGATCCATTGTGGAATCAGATGACTTATCAGTTGGGCTTTTCCACTTTCACTCTCCATATATGGTACAAACCGAAGCGCAACATGCGGCAGAAGATTTTAGAAGCCTGCCAAATTAGAGCTCACTCACACTTCTTTCCAACATCACGTGTTTACTAGTTTCCTACTGCAGACTCTCCTGTGGCTCTCTAGTTTGAAATGACTCAATCAGCGTCCTGCACTGAACCGGAATCCAAAGGGTATTTCTACCCCCACCTCCTGTTAAGGCAAAGGGAGAAGTTCAAGACCACCCCCTCAGCTTTGCCACTGAGTAAGAACTGGGAAGAATTATCCGTGTTTTGGATAGAGAAGAGGATTGGTTTGAAAGAGGGGTAAAACAATCTATCCATGTTAGAACTGAACACTCCTCCCTCAACAGAGGAGGAGGAATAAGACACCACCTATCTCCAGTTTACAATGCAGCCCTTGCAGCAGTTCCAACAAGATTCCACAACCTATTGCATCCTGATTCAGGTGACCCCAAGGGCACAGATATACCCCCCAAGTGGCCTCAAAAGCTCTCAGGGAGAGTGCTAATGACCAGAGGACTGCAAAACAATCCTTCCATACGCCCCACCATCCTATCAGAACGTCTGCTAACATCCCACCACCACCATCAGACTTGATGAAGCTTCTTGGATGAGAATTTCAATTTCAGTTCAGAATAGAGCTCGAAGGGACCTTGGAGGTCTTCTAGTCCAACCCCCTGCTCAAGCAGGAGACCCTATACCATTCCAGACAAGTGGCTGTCCAGTCTCTTCTTAAAAGCCCCCAGTGACGAAGCACCCACAACTTCTGACGGCAAGCTGTTCCACTGGTTAATTGTCCTCACTGTTAGGAAGTTTCTCCTTAATTCCAGGTTGCTTCTCTCGATTAGTTTCCATCCATTGTTTCTTGTCCTGCCTTCTGGTGCTTTGGAAAATAGATTGAACCCCTCCTCTTTGTTGCAGCTCCTCAAATATTGGAACACTGCTAGCATGTCACCCCTAGTCCTTCTTTTGTCTACACGGGCCATACCCAATTCCTGTAACCATTCTTCATATGTTTTATTTTCTATGTCTTTAATCGTCTTAGTTGCGCTTCTTTGCACTTTTTCCAAAGTCTCAACATCTTTTTTGTAATGTGGTGACCAAAACTGGATGCATTATTCCAGGTGTGAAGCAAAACGTTTTCTCATTCAGGAAGAAGGGAAAAAACAACCCAGTTGCCTTTGGAAGCACCTTTGAGACAACGGGCTTCATGATTTCAATGACCATGTGCGCTGGCGGCTGCTCCACCATTCCATCAGACACGGCTGGGACGATGCAATTGTTCGGTAGCACCAACATGCAGGAATGTCTGCTTGAAACTTTTGGCCAGAATTTCAACTATGATCTAATCAGGGACTTCCATTCCAGACTCTGTAGTATTAACTGCCCAGTGTCCATTTATAAACTATTCTTATCTTAAATTTATTAAGTACACATTCAGCCATAGAGCTTATCTTCATTTATTGCTAACAAGCCAATGTTTAGACATACAAACTATCAATCCACATCTGGAAAGTCCCGACATCACCCTTTTGAAAGGACCATCACTTTTTCTGCTGGCATGGACAGAACACAGATGACTGTCTGCGGGGTGTTCCCCATCACCAGACAATCTAAGCTCCTCTCCCCCCCCCTTCACAATCTTCCCCAACTATCTGCTAGAACAGGGGTGGGGAACTACGGCCCCTTTATGACATGTGGACTTCAACTCCCAGAATTCCTGAGCCACCCATGCTAGAAGCTCAGAAGCCCCTCTCAGTCCCTAGTGCAAAATTACTTCATCAATGTGGATTTGGTTCATTCACACCGTTTACAAAATCCAGCTATTGCCCAAATGAGTTTTGATGTTTTAAAAAATGTGCACAGTATGTGCAGTTAGCTATCGGACAGAGAGAAGAGCTCTGAAGCTCTCAAATGTATAGAAATTTTATATTTAGCACCCTTTCTACCAAGTAAGCAAAAGAACAATTTCGAATCTAATGATTGGTAATGGAATCTTAAATTAGAAAGAGGAAGCATGACTTAATATGAAACAAAACATGAAAGGCACACAGATGTGCCTGCATGATTTTGGCCTAGACTAGTTAGGTCATGTTTTCCAATGTGGGGCCTTCTAGACTTGTGGATGTCCTTGAGTAAAATGTTGGTCAAGCAGGGTGTGATTGACAGTGTCTAATCCGGAGAGTTGCGACGGAAGGAAACTAAGTTTATGCTACAGTGAACTTTTCCAAGAGATCTTTGTGGTGAGGGGTCCTTGGTGCTCTCTGAACTTGCTTGTTTTCTTGCAGGCGTTTCATTACCCAAACTAGGTAACATCTTCATCAGATCTTTGTGAAAATTGAGGTACCACCGTAGTCTATGCCAATCTGGCATCTCCAAAAGTAGGTTGGGGATTACAATAGACTAAACACCTTTGGAAGGGAGCAGGGGAGGAAGAAGTGAAGGGCTACATCAGATCACTTTGCTTGTGACAATCCCAGGTTTATTCTTCCCTTACTTCAGTTAAATGTTTATTTTTATGAAGAGGAATACACAAAAAAATTCACTTAATGGAAAGATAATAATTGGTTTAAACCAGGGGTGTCAAACTGCCGGCCCGTGGGCCAGACACGTCACGTGGAAGCCACGCCCACCCCATTGCCGGCAATGGCAAAACCGGCCCGATACGTTGCGTGACGTTTGACATGCCTGGTTTAAACCTAAAGATGTGATTATCAAGAAGACATTATCAAATCTTTTATTATCTTAAAAGATAATAAACTCTTTTGAGA